ATAGGTTCTCCTAGAGGATAAATCTGAATTACTGGGGGGAGCACGTTTTTATCCAAAAAAAGGGGGAGCCTGAGTGGGTTAGACTCCCTGGACTACAGTGAGTCCCCTTAGACATTCCTCCTCGCTCCTCCCAGGGTTCAACCCTTTTCCTGAGTAATTTACAATCTCCAGCCCAAAAGCTGCTCCTGATGACATCAGTCTAAATGAAAGGCTTTGAGGCCAGCAGAGCCCGAACATAAGCGGGTGTCCCCTGAGGCAAATCCATGGTGGGGCAATAAGAGGTGCCAGCAGACCACGAGGAGTAAAGAGAGGTGGACCAAGGGCACCTGATAAAAGCCCAGGTAGGTGGGGGAAACAGAGAGCAGATCAGCGGGTGGCATGCATTGGTGGCACGCGTTCCTGGGGAACACCTTTTCCACTGGAGGGCAGGAAGACTCCCCAAATTTGGGTCCAGAGACTTGAGCCACGGTGCCTGAGGCTGAGGATGCCCCAACTGGAACCGCAGACCCCTTTGAAAATCAGTCAAGACTTTTGTTCTCGGCTTGTCCCATGAAGCATAGCATTTCATCTGGAATAAATGCATTTGCGGGGGAGCATTTGAATAACTGAGGTGTGGTCTGCGGGTGCCCGAGGCAGGGAGCGTGACCAGAAGCATCCTCTCTGTGGTAGTAAAGACTAGTTTATGAGAGCAAACATTCTGAAGTTCAGCTCTGTGGGTATTTCCCAAGTAGTCAGGCTATTATTGTTGTTATTTATATTCATATAACATCTAGTAGCCCAAGGTACTGCATTAAGTGCTGCAAAAACTCAGCGATGGCTCCGTTAATTCTCATGCGAAGCAAATCTCCCTTTGGGCCTGGTTCGATAGACACAAAAGTGTCTAACTGACTTAATCAACATGAAAAATTTCCATTTAATTGCTGGGAGACCGCTCCATGAGTAGGGTTACCTGCATGATTGTGTTTGTGATTAAGAATTCTGTTTCTATTCGGCAGAGCTGAACCAAAAATAGCTATTCCCCCCCCCCCGTGGTGCTTTGACAAACATGAGAGAGAAAACTCACGTCTTCAGTGGAGGCTGTCTTCTTGAATAACAGAGGAAATGGAAACTCCAGGGGTATTTTTATCCTCAGCCCAACTTTTTGGATTTTGAGCATTCGGGCTGTTTGTCCATAAGACCCTTTCTCTGCACCGACTCTACTGGAGGTGAGAAGACCTCGCTGTGATAACGAAAATGGGTGTCATGGGGGCAATGTCTGAGTCAGAGAGAGTGGAGCCTCTTTGCACCCCCACGCTGAGGCGAATCATTAGGCAGGCTGCTGAGCCTGCACTTGGGGTGAATAACTCTATTTCACTGTAAAAGCAGTGCACTGAGGTGCGGCAGGGCTGAGCACTGCAGCCAGAAGCAAGCTCTTTCCTCGTCTGCTGGGGAAAGTGTGGGGCTGCGTCGTGAGCTGGTCTCTCCCGTTGCGAGAGGGTTGTCTTGTTGCATCGATGTTTTTATCAGGCCAGCTTCTATGCTAAAATAAAATCTCTCCTTGCAGTGCTGGAGCCAACATTTTGGCACCCGAGGATGCTGTAACTGAAAGCAGAGACATTGCAGAGGTTGACGTCTGCTCGCGGCTGGAGCAGACCCACCACAACACAGGAAGCACGAGATGCAGTGTGGGCAGCGGGGGGAGGCGGGCAGCGTCCCACTCCCACCGGCAGCAGTTTGCAAGCTTCATTGTGGTGGTGCATGGCACCCTCTGGTCCCGCAGAGGATAAGGGGGTGCAGGAGGCAGGAGACAGACTTTTAGAAAACTGGACCCAGCCGGAGCCCCTCGTTCCCATGCCACTTGGCGGGCATGACCAACAAGCGGGGTGGGTGGCAGAGGCAGCCGGGGGGGGGGGGGTGGGGGGGGCGGGGACCAAGAGAGAAGGACTCTGTCCTCTCTGCAAAGTGTGCTGGCAGGCCCCAGCTGAAGGTGCAGGAGCACTGGGTTACACAGCACGGGCAAAATGAGCGTCATTTCTCTCTGCTGCAGTCAGTGACACTGTCAGCTCCTTGGTGTGACGGGTTACTGAGCCTCAGGGACATGACATCCAAGATGCCTCTAGTTTTCACCTGCCCCCTTGTGTCTGAGCTCATGCCTGTGCTTGCAACAGGCGCTTTTCCCTCGCTTTGCATCCAGGCTTGCAATTTCTTAGTCTGGTCGGGCCATCCTACTCCTCAAGCCGCATTGGCGTCCGCTCCATCGCTGTTGCCCACTTGCCCCTGTGCTCAGTTCTGCTTCAGCCTGTGTTTTGGGGACTGTCTGCTCTCCCAGCTCCTCTGCCCGCTGAAGCATTTTCCTCTGCTAACATTGCTAACCTTAGTGTGTCCCGAGTTTCCTTCTCTCCTCCTTATCTTCACCCCTCACAGACTCCTGGACCCATGTCTGCAAAGCGCTGGCACATCCTCATTCGTAGCTTCCTCAAGGTCCTGGTACAAAAGAACGAGAGGTAATACAACAAAAGCTGTCTCCTTTAGAAAATATCAAAGAACTAGCTCCTTCCTGTCTTTCTGCTTGGACTCCTTTTTGTCTTTCTGACTTCTAGACAGCAAGATTGTTAGATGAAGGCCTGACCTTGGTAAGAGAAAAAAGGAAGGCACAGAAAGAATATGTGGTTTTGTGGTTAAGGCATCATTTTGGTCATTTAATTTTTCTGAGCCTCCATCCTTATGAATAAAACAGACATAGAAGACAGGGGAAGGGTAGTTTTGGTTGTCTGTATGTTGCTCACGTGTGTTAATAATATGGCCTTGTAAAAACCAAGTTATGCAATGCCTTTTCAGTGTGTTTCCAGCATGTTTCAAGGATGTGCACTGCCATCTCAGCGCTAAGCGATGGAGTCGGTCCAGTGTGGCTATGCCCACGCTACCCTTGCAAATAAGCAGGGTCTGTTTTCTGTCTCTGGGGCCACTGCAGGGCATGGCTTGCACCCAAACAGCTGAAGTCTCTTGCACCCCTCAACTCCCTGCCGCCTCAACTGGGTATCCTCGTCCAAATGTGCTCTGGGGACTGGTCCCTAGCACAAGCACAAGCATTGCCTGGGGCATGGCACAGGATAAGGCTGTGCTAAGGCACCTGCTAGTGGTTAAACAGGGACCAGATGGCCCTGGGCTGTTCTTCGAGCCCAAGTCCTGAGCATGCTTTACCCTCCAGCTTGGATGTCCCCTTTGGTTTTAGTTTGGGTCTTTATTATTCTACTTTTTTTTTTTCTTTATGAGCTATTGTGTTTTAATTAACTGTTAATTCCTTGGGCTAGCCTGTGGTTATTTTTTTGGGGGGGGGAGAAGGAAGAAGGAATGACTTGCTTCAGGGTTTTTTCTTGGTTGTACCTGTCTCCATTTATTCTCCTATTCTTTTAGGCTGTCTGGAGGTAATGGCTCTTAGCATGCTTTATAAATCATTCCGCTGAGGACTTTGAGTGAGCATTTTATTTAATAAGTATGGAGATGTGGGCTTTTATCCCTGCAAAAGAGGTGGCAAGCTCACTGTAATTTCCACTGAATTACTGTATTTGGGGTAGAAGAAATAATAGAAGACTCAAAGATACTGGTCTTTACAGTAAGTTCCAATTGTATTACCTCCTCTTTGACTTGCTACTTGATCCATAGGAGCATCAAAGTTATTTACATTGAAAAACAGCACTTTGATTTAATAACACATAGGCAGGGGTACTTGGAAGGAATTTAAAAGCTCACTTTGAAGAGTTGTGCCAGTCTGAAAACCTGAACATTAATGCTCTTGAGCTTTGGAAAAAGATGGATCTGCAGCCACATCCAAATGCTGCAGCTCACCTCCATTTCTAGACTGTCAGAGCAAGTCCTGAGAGGAATAAACAGGGTTCAGCTACAGGGATTTCAAAGGGAAATCTTTATTCAGGCTGCTGAAAACTGGCGTCCTGGCTCCTTGTCTCCTGGCTGCCTGGGATACCCACCTCTGTTACACAGGCTCTGAGTCCAGGCCGGGACCTCACTCTGGCTGCCAGGTCTGACTATATTGGTCAGACTTTGCATCACCAAATGTGGCTTCTTTATAAAATGGTGAAGCCGCTGCAGAAAGAAAGAGCACAATGCTGGCCTACAGCAGTTTAAAATCGACTTGAAATGAACCACTTATGGTCATCACACGGATTTTGAATGATTGCTATGTGGGGATCACATTGAACCTACTTCATCCCAAAAATACCAGAAAAAGTGCTGCACATCTCAAGAAACGCTTCACTACGGTGTGCAAGTTCTTGGGTCTCAGCCACAGCTAGTCCAAAGAGGAACTAGGCTTTAGCCCTGCTCGCACCCAGATTAGCAATGAGAAATAACCAGCTTCATAGGTCATAGGAAATGGTTTCTTTCCAACCACAGAAGGAGAGCAGAATGAACTCTGAAGACATTTTGGCTTTAGCAAATGCATAGCTGGGCCTAGCAGCCCTGTGCGTGCCAAGCACTGCTGGGCTTCAGAGGAAAGTCTGTGAAGAAATGGTGCCATGGATGCTTTGTGGTGGTCAGCACATACGTCTGCTTCATGACGTCTCTTCTGCAGGCAGTCACACTCATTTGTGTGGCTTCTGTGGTATAGAAGTCCTATCAAGTACAGACCTGTGCCTTTTTTCTTGTGAGAAATAACAAGAGAGCAGGTGGCCAAGCAGGCAGTTTTAACAGTGGCTGTCCCCCCGGCTCCTTGATTTTCATCCTTGAAAGGATGGAAAATTGTTTTTTCAGGAGCAACATCCAGTGCTGTAAAAGCAAGGCTGTTCTGTGCACTCCTCTGGCATCGGCATCCTCTCTGTGATAACTTACAGGTTTTGAATAAAGACAGAAATTCACAGGTATTTTTTCCCCTTGAACATGCATCTGCCGTGGAGCATCTCAAGAAATGAAATGCCCAACGATGCCTGAAACACTTCTATGGCGCGGGGTGCTTCATCACACTTCGCAGATAACCGTATTCACTCTTTTTGTTTGTTTGTTTGAAGGATGCGTGCTTGTGGTGTCTGTAATTGAACAGCTTGCACAGTGGCACAACAGTACAGTAAAGGCAGCCATGGAGAGGTTGTGCAACTACATACCTGGTAAGTACCAAATAATACACCATGTTAATTTGGTACTGCTGTATTTCTCTGCTAATTAAGAATTCACACGTGGAGTCTGAAAAAGCTTTATTCACTTCTCGTGCAGCATCTCAAATGAATGTAGCTGAAAGATAGCAAGGTGCTATCTGCAGGGAAGTCAGTGGCGTGGCTCACTTGGCTTCAGAGCTGGGATTTTGTCCCAAAGTTAGAGTGAATGGGGTTGTATTAAGCCCACATGCCTGTGAGCACCAACACATGCAGACCCCTTCCCTCTCTTTTTCTCCACTTTGTCTCTTTGTTAGCAGCTTAAGAATAGATTCACTGTATGCCCAGCCACTCCTCTTTCTTGTTGATATGGGTCTTTATAGCAACTGTGAAGATGAAAATGTTTTCAGCAGGTATAGGAAGACACTATTGTAAAATCTCAAAAATGAGCTGAGGTTGACAGGTATAAGATGTGAGCATTTGGTCTGCACAGAAAAGCTATTGAAATGTAACTGATGATACAAATTTCAAAAGCGATAGCTATTCCGAATGAATATATGTAGACTCCCCTTTTTCTGCCCCTTATTTTATCTGCCCAAAGCACCTTAGCTGTCCAAATGCACATCCCTAAATAGAGAACAGTCTGAATGCCAGAATAGCTTTGTGCTTCACAGAGCAATCTTATAACTATTTAAGTAACTAGATCTCACCTTCATGATATCTTTTTAACATTATGAATATAAAAAGATGGCTTAGGATTCTTCATTAAAAAGTCATTTATATAGGACTTCACGAATTGTATCTCTGAGAAACCATCTTGCTCTGTAGACCCTAGTTTCACAGAAGATGCGTGTAGAATATGAATTCCCTCCTTTCCAACAGAGGTTTTCCCGATGCAGGATGGGGCAGGGAGGTAATTGCTGGGATTCATTCGCTGATAGAATGACGTTTATCTGCTTTCTATTCCATAAGTCATATCCTCAGTGTTTTAAATTACAGGCACATAACCATGAAGCTACAATTAGAAGCGTTGATCCTGCTGTTAAAATACCATTTTCTTCTTTAAAATATGACACGCTAGCTCTGTGTTCATGATTCACTCAGTGGACCTTGTTCCACTGACATGTCAAGGTATTTCTTTTCAGCTGCCATTCTTTACACACATAAAATCCTATTATCCCTTTAGTTAAATCTGTATAATCCAGTTACCTTCTATGAGATGCATGGATACACCCAATAGAAAAAAACCTGACCCTGAACTTGAAAGGAGTGAAAAATCCTGTGGATTGTGTGGGAGCTACAGTGTAACCCGATTTATCCTCTCCCAGGAGGTGAATGCTGCAGCCCAGCAGGAACCAGCAGCTTCCTCTCGCTGCTTAAAACAATAGAAAAGCTTTGGATGCTCATGAGGAGCAAACCGACTAAAGCAGGCTGTGCCATTTCACCTGAAGGAACGGTTTCATTATTATACACATGCTTACAATTGATTGCAAGAATAACAGCAACAAATTAATGGCAACAGGGCTTTTCCTAGGGCCAAAAAGGGAATAAGAACTCGTGCGGTTTTAAGGGCTTCCTATAATTTCGATTACAATCAAGTTGGGGTTGGATCAAGCCTTCAGTGAAGTTACACGATGTTCAAGAACAAAAAATGTTTAGAGAAAAAGAGAGCGAAAAATTCAGTACCTGTCAATCCCACTCAATCCCACAGGCTGTGTAGAAAACACAATCGCATCCTTATTTATATGGAAATATTTGCAACCAGTGTGATTCAAGAGACATGGCAAATAAACCTATGAAAATAAGAACAGTAACACCATGAGTGAAGGTGGCGCTTGAGCAGACAGAAAGGTCAGGTCTGGGGGAATGGGCAGTATTTACGGTGTAAGAGATGTTAGCAAGAATGTATGTTTACCCGGATACTGGCTGTCTGCCTGATGAAACAGAGGTGTCTGATACCCAAAATGTGCTTTGAGACCGTCTGCCTCCGATGTTGCCTCTGAGTCATGCTCTGCTTCTGTGTCGGCCACTGCTGTGTAAATACCTTAGAGCTCAAGTGGAAATGGCAACATGATTAATACCATCTTTCTTGCAAATATTTATCCTCTGGGATTCAGCCAGCATTTGTGTTTCTAGGACTATGAAGCTATAGAGGAAAACCTTCCGGATTTTTATCACGTAAGAACAGGGCAGTTTAGGGGATCTCTTTTACCTGCAGCTGGGCAAAAGCAAGTATACTCTAAATTTTCTCTAAATATTCCAGCATTTAGTTTGCTTTAAGCTCTTCTCTTGCACCTGAACATTCAAAGTTATTCATAATTTTCTCTCTCTCTCTCTCTCTGTTCCCCTCCTTTCTGACTTACGCAGCTTCTTCCTAACAGAGCGCTCTCTCTGCAATATCCTCTCCTTGTGTGTGTTAGCAGAGCCGGAGGTTTGTGAACGCATGAATGCAGGCTGGCTTGGAGGGCAAGTCCTGTAAACACTGCCCATGGCTTGGGTCTGTTTTGCTGAAAGCCAAAGTCTGAATGGCATCTGTATCTTCCAAGAGGACTCCCTTGTGCTCAACGATAATTTTATGTTATTGCTCTTCTTTTCACCACCCATCATGTGTTACGCCATGGGGTAATTACATGTCAAGCTTCCTATATGCATAAGGAAATCAGCGCCTAGAAATCAGTGTGACCAGCAGACCTCCAACATTGGCTCCCCGGAGCTGATGGCCAGCCAAACCCTCCCCTCCTTGCAGCCACCAGTACAGGTTACAGCAGCCAGCTGGCTCCTCCAGGGCCAGAAACGTTATGGAAACCAGCTGGCTTGGGAAACTCATGAGACCATTGCCTGCAATGCACTGGGGAGGTGTTGGGGAAGCCAGCCACCTTCTCCCACGGGCTACTATAGGGAGCCAGGTGCCCCGCGGGCAAGCCTCATCAGAGGGTGTTTTAATCAGTGATGATACCAAACGCAGGGTTATTGATGTCTGTGATGTCTTTCCTTTTAGGTGAACAAGAATAAAATCTAATTCTAACCAGGAGACCAATTTTTAACTTGCAGATTGCTTCTAAAGAGCCGATAGAGAGGAGTTATGTTGCAAAGAAATGAAGCTAATAACTTGATTGAAATAAAACATCTGGCACAGGATAAGAAAAATCAGCTGTCGTAGTTACAGAAGCTGCCTGCAACACCGTATGAGTAGGAGGGTGTTGGGGAAATTATCTTTTCATTCCCTGCTATGCCTTTCTGGTCCCAGTCCCCCTTCCTTGGGCACAGGTTGCCAGCCAGTGTCTGCAGTCCTGGCAGGAGAGCAGCTGCGGGAGCAAGAGCACGCCCATGCCTGCTGATGCAGTCAGTGCTGTGAGGTTTTGTACTCTCCCCGGAGCCAAACTACCTGCCTTGTATGCAGCAGACCCCTGGCCCTGGGCATGTCCAGCCTGACGCTGGTGAAAATTGAATATTCAGCCCAAAGTTGGAGGGAAGCGGCTGCTTTGGGGATTTCTAAGGCTTTTCTTTGGGAAAGATCAGCATAGTCTATGTTTTCTTCCCCAAGTACAAATAATTATCTGTCTGGGTAATGGAGGTGCAAGAGGAAACAACATCCCTCAGGAATTTCAGGAGCTGCAAGTTTGTCACCGCTGCACTTGTATGAACCTGCCTCTTCATGTCTTTTCACAACACTGCCCCTGCCAAAACAATGCCTGACACCTCCTTTGCAGGATACGTGCATGGTTAACCAGCTCTCATCTGTTCAGGCCAAGAAACAGTCAATTTTCCTTCGTGGGAACTATCAGACCAGTGCTACCATCAGGCCCTACCTGTATTCAAACCCCCAATCTCTCCCGCAAGTGTATTTGCCCAGGTGTGCGGACCACTTTTTTTTACAACAGTACCTTAAAGAAATCTCTGATGAGCTGTCTTCTGGAGGGCATGGAGGGCATGCTTCACCCAGATTAAAGAAAGCCACCTGAGCCAGCATCCCGAAAAGGCACATGGCTGCAGACTGCGAGAGGAAGCCAAACAAAAAGTGCCAAATATTTGTTTGAATGCAATTACTGCTGCACAACTCCAGCTCTACACAAAACATATTCTCTTAACTCGCACAAACCCCCAGAAGCTCAGAGGCAGCTCTAGCAGTAGCATCAAGCTCTACATCACTTTCTGCACTTTGATTTATGTATTTGTTTTCTTTCTTGCTGAAAACATACCAAGCTGTTTCTTTAAACTGCTTAGAAGATGCTGCAGCATATCTGATTTCTTTTGACTTTTCCATGATGCCATACTCAGAACATTTAACAAATGCTAGTTGTCCTTTCTTGTCTTTATTATGTGGCTTGCCTAAAGCCAGAGAACGGCTTTAGGCAAGGTTAGAAATTCAGGTTTTCCCATTCTCTGGTGCTATACCAGAGGTCATAGATTCACACACCTTCCCCAAAGATAAATCAGCATTCACCTTAATGAACCAACTCCTGCTGTATTTTGATTGTTATAAAACCAGTTTCACCGTGCTCAATTACTTAAAAAAAATTGTGTTTTCTAGAAAAACTGCAAGGTTTCTGTTACGTGCTTGCTGAACTTTACGGACCTCACATAGCTGAACTGTAAGTATTGCTGTGTCCTCTCAGGTCTTTGCTTAGTTTGTTCTTGACATGTACAGATGTGCTGTCGGGTTGAAGTGCAGGGGTTTCATTCTTAAAATCACATTATTATTAAAGCAATGATGATTGGCATAGCTATTCCTGAGTGAATAAATACAGGCTGCCACTGGTAACCATTTTCATACTCCATTTGAATCTCAGATCAGGCCCACCTGATGTAATTACCTTTTGAAATTCAGCTCATTTGGCTGAGGGAGGAATTTGAATAACCCATGTGTGCGAGACAGGTTCTACAGAGTCACACTACTGTAATACTTGGCTCTTGCTTTCCCTTCTGCCTTTAATCAAGCTTTCTAATTGTCAGCCCCTACATGCTCTCAGCCCCGACCTTGATACACACTCTTGGGGAAGCCTACTAAGTAATGTAAGTAAGTGATTAAAAAAATAAAATGTAGGTCATTTTATTCCTCTTTGAAAGTTCTTAGTTTAATTAACAGAGCTTTTGCTAGACCTTCTTCCTCCCTAGGGTTTTTATTTTTATTTTTAAAACTAGCCAAAGGACTGCAAAGTGCTTACAGGACTAAGAAGTGCTGTAATCAAACATTTTAATTTAATTCCTGATTAGCCCAGAGGTGTGTCCCAAAAAGAAAGAAACGATCCTAGGACTTGTGCTTCGTGATTAAAGGTTAAGGATCTTTGAAGGATTTCTGGTTATTTTCTTGAGTTAATGATTGAACATTCATATGTGCCAAATTGCATATGCATTAACTTTAACCTTTAAATCTTCGTCAGACTTATGATTGATTTAAAAACAGAACAGTCGTAATGTATTTGATTCAGGTGCTGCATATAAAGCACGGTGCATTTTCTTCATCCTACGATCCAATTTTAAATGCTGAGTAGGCTGCTGTGGCAGAAAATCGTTCGGACCCAACACTGTACTGAGCAGCGATTACGGGCCACCGTGAAGGGAGCTGAGGTTATTGTTTGGCGTTGGGGCGATTCAGCTTCCCAAGGAAATAGCTTCTACTTTCAAGCACTCAGAAGAACATAATAGTCTTTGTTTATGCACCATTTCCTTCAGCATAGACAGGGAAATGAATGCCGATGTGGTCTGCCATTCCTTGAAGCTGTGTAAACAGGATCCAGGACAACCGCTTTGTCATCTCTACCCTCCTCCAAAGGTGAGTTGCTTTTCCACTTTTTTCAAAGCTACTGATTGTGGAAGGTCTTTTAAGCTGGAACTGAACAGTACGGAGGCTTCCAGTGCACGTGCATTGTCTGGGAAATAAACTTCAACATTTTGAGCGTTTACACTTTTAGAAAATGTCTATTTGAATGAAAGGTACATAACACGCATTAGCTGTGTGGACCATCAACAACATGGTTGTCGGAGAGTGGGAATTACAGGGCCAAATTCTCTTGTACCAGTCTGGGTCAGAGAAGAAGAGTAGGGAAAATAAAATCTCACTTTCTCCAGACTTTATTGCTAAGCAGTACAATAACCCCAAACCAGATACTCAGCTGAGGTTCATCTATACCACCGCATTACCACCGTGTGGCAAGTTATCCCCACATTGCCTGATCTGCTGCGGCAGCCTGTGTAGGCGCTAGTTACCCGCTTCAAATGCAGGGCTATTTGACTTGGATTAGTCTGCAGTGCAAGAGGTTTAAGCTAACGCGCATAATCTTTTGCCGCAGGCTGGAAACATACTTAGTTACCACCGCTTTTTTGATGTACAGTTACTTGCTACGCCACGGTAACTTGATTGCATGTCCTAGACCTTTGCTACTCAGACACATACATATCTGCACAGGTGTCTAAACAGGTACAGTTTGTTTTGGGATTTTTTTTGGTTGTGGGGTTTTTTTTCCCCCAGTCATCATGCAGCCCCAGTCACACTAAAACCTGTGAGTGATGGTGGTTGTTTGGCAGTGTCGAAAAGCAAGTGATTCACTTAGGCATCTATTTTTGTAAATCTTTTTCCCTGCATCTGGATGGATAAAGACATGTTTGATTTCTAAAGGTTTGCATAAGATGTTTTACACAGGGCCTCATCCAACAGCCACTGAAATCAGTCAGAGTCTTTTTATGGGCTTTGGTGAGCTGTGGTTCATCTCCAAGATGGATTTAGTTCTGCCAATATTAAGACCTGGAGAAACACTTGCCTTCCAAGAATGGCAGTAACATTTGTTTTATAGCAGGTGTGTGTCCCATATGACTACTATGCTCCATGCTATAACATAGAGATACATGGGTGTGCAATCAGGCAGGGGTGGAAGAAGATGAGTGCAGGCAGGAGAGAGGGCCCACACTAACTTGACTCAACCAGGATGTTGCCCAAACTTCATCAAACAGGTTCCTTCAGAAATCCTGCATCTGAACTGGTAAAACAGTTCATGGGTCCTTCCACCTTTCCCCAAGGTACATCAGAGTTACCCTATTGCAAGCTCTCCCTTAATAAATGCCAGGTCTTTACTCACCCCACAAACATTCGTGAGTCTCCAGCACTTTCTGCCCTGGTAATTGCGTGTTTTTTCCCTCCCCTGTACTTGTAACAGCAGCAGAGACCCTGTCAGTGACTGTGGGGCCTTTTTTTTTTTTTTTAAATTAGGAGTCCTGAAGGTAAAGGTTAGAGTACAGAAAAGGCTGGCAGGCTCCCCCAGCCCCCAGTGTAGCAGGTCAGCCAGGAGGACAGCAGGAGATGTAGCAATGGTGGCTACACATGCACCGTGCTGCCAGCCCGAGAGTTAGATTTTCATATGGACTTACTTGCTTGCGTGCGGGAATAAAGAGAAGTTGAAATCACCCTGCACCCTGACTTCTGACGGTGGCAGAAGTACAAGGTGCCTCTTGGAGTGAAAGAGGATGCAGGCAACGAACTGCACTTGAAGAGAGGGATGGACTCTCCGTGGCTGCACAGTGAGCTAGGCTAACGAGTCTAGAGAGAGGGGCTGTTTAAACCAAAGTGGCTCCTGCGCAGAAATTAGATCATCTGCGGTGAAATGCTTGGCCTATCAACCAGAGGGGACAGGATGCCACTCGTGGGGTTGTTGCCAAATCTTTGGTAAGCTCTTCCCATCTCTCAGAGCAGGTGTGGGACCAAGCTGTTGATTCCTTCCACCTCCAGCAACAGCTCCAGTGACTGTACTTTCTGCAAGGAAAACAACTGAAGATGGTTTTTTTTTGTTTTGTTTGTTAAACAAAATTTGGATTCTCATTTGCATGGCCTGGAGACTGTCCCTCTGAGTGAGTGGCTCAAGCAAACCCTCTCCCTTCCACGTGGTAGTTAAATCCCTTTCTGTCAAGGTGTATTTATTTCTCACCAGCAATAAGGGAACTCTGCCAACAAAACGATTTTTCTACCCTGCCTGTGCCCTCCTTTTTAGCTCGCCTGGTGCCCTGAGACAGCATGAGGAGGCTGGGGGAGATGGGAGGAGAAAAGCAGTGCTTAGAGTTCATGCTCAAGTGGTTGATAAATTGCCCACAGTAACTGTGACAAGTCAGACTGAGTAAAGATGAATTATGGGTGAAAAAAATTAATATACAGTCAGAGATGCAGATGCATAAAATGCAGTTTACCTCACATTTGCTTCTTTGGTTTGTAATTTGATTGATCACTTCAGTTATATGAGCCTGCAAATGTTGGCTCAGTCCCCTGCCAAGTGTTTGAACAAGACTTTAATACTAATGACTGTTTTGTTCAACTCTATTGATTTTCAGGTACTTCGTTTATTTCTTTAGACTTTTGGATGCCCATTTTCCCAGAATTAGTATCATATTTGTACTGGTGAAGGGAGTAAAATAAATATAGAGTTCCTTGCCCTTATAAGGCAGCATAATATTCACGTTTTAATTGCCTTTGAGGTGGCAAATATCAACGTGTAGCTGCTTTTTCAGTCAATAGTTTATTTTGTTCTGTTTCTGTGATGTTGCTCTAGTGAGATCGTGTGTCTCGAGGAAGGAAGAGCCCCTGCTTCAGAGGCCTTGCAAACTGTCTACATAATGGAGACACTGCAAGCTGAGTAAATGATACGTGTGTTATATTACATTCTTCCCTGGTCTCTGACAAATTAGCCCAAATTAATTTTTTTGCCAACCTGCCTGGAGCCATTAGCACTCTGCAATTATTCTAGGAGACTTGGCTCTAATTATGAATAAAAAATATTGCTCTGCTCGCACGGAGCTCAATGCTCTCAGCGTGGAGCTGGAGGAGGAGGACAACTAACCTGGGCGAGGGTGGCTCCATTGTGGGGGCTCCCCGGGGGCTTGGGCGAGGTGGGCTGCCCTGCTGGTGGGCAGTTTCAGAAGCAGACCCCTGATGTCAGTGGGGAAGAGTGGAAGGGGCACTTGTGGCTCCTGGATCACCAGCACAGCTCAGTGAGCAGATGTCACTCGTAATGGGGTCCTGTGAGCCCCTAATTGCCACCAGTGGCCCGTAGAGCAGAGCCTGGGCCAGGGCTGGAAGTGCAGGTAGATGTGCATGCATAGGCTCTCCTGCTGCATGTTTCTTGCCCAATGAGAGTTTCTCCTCTACCCTTAGTATGAGGGTAGCAACAGTGGGGACTCCTTCAAGTCGGGAGGCAAAATAATACGGCACATCAGAAGTGTAGGCTTACCATAGGTAGCTGTAAACTGGGCAGTATCTAGAGCTGCTGTAATATGCCTTGTGGTTTAAGCTACATCGACAGCAGATACTCTAACATTGGCTGCAGCACCGCTCCAAAACGCTGACAGTGGGTACAGGTATCCGAGCTAGCTGGTTTAGGATGACTGGATATTTTTTTAGTCAGAAAAGTTTATCAGCTCACATGGTGGAGGACTTTCTGCACCAGGTCCTGTGATACAGGGACGTTCCTCTAGCAAGCAAAAAGGGCTGAAATAGGGTGAGGGGTTTTAGGTATTGCCTACCAAGCTCCTCTCCTGGCCCCGGGAGCAAGCAGGCTTGCAGGAGATTATTCTCTGCTTGTCTCTAGGTTGTTTTAAGCCAGCTGGCCTGTTCAGTTAAATGGCAATACTTTAATTGATTTTGTTGGGGCCAGAATAATGGCTCGACTTCAGCACTGGAGTCCTGCTGCTGGCAATCTCTTAAACAGCCTGTGTTGGAAGGAGCTTGTACTCTTCTTTCTGATTTTCAGAGTGCCTCTTCTGCTCCCCATCACTTTTCTGCTCCGGATTATTAGAGACCTTGTGGCTGCAGATTTTAGCTTAATCCCCAGTGGTAGGATTTTGCTGGGAGTCATCTTACGTCAGCAAAAATATACATATTTATGCTAATGTCATTTTATCTTACCAAAATAAGCTTCATTGCCACAAGCACTCATGCCGGTTCATGTCCCCTCTATCAGGTCTTTTACTGACTTTGTAAAAAGCAAAAGCCCCATCCCTCATGGATGTTTCTGTGGCCACTGCTCTTTGACAAAGTAGGAGCCAATGAATTCTGGCTGGAAAAAAGAAACCCTTTGGGGTTTCATAAAATAAAAATACTCCCACTATTTTCTCTTGTTCCTCTCTCTCTTTCAGTGAAAATGTGAACTGCTTCCCGGGAGGTGAGGCAGAACCAAACTCCGGGGCGGGAGTGCTTCTGCATTCTTAGTAAGAGCAGGCTGCCGGCCAAAGGTAGACCTTGTGGCTGGGACCTGTTTCCTTCTTTTGAGACCGCAGGCTGTAAAGCAAGCATCTGGGAGGCAGGCTGGGTCCTGGGGAGCAAGATGCCCTCCTTTTAGCCTTTCTTTTTGGAAATAGGTAAAATCTACTGAAATGTGAGTTGTTTCTGCTGCAGTCAGAACTGAGCCCTGAAGAAACACCCTATAGACAAGCGATAGCAGAAGGCACAGTTTGAGCACTAGTTCTTCCTCTTTCACTTGTTTCTCAACATTTCCCCTGCTCCTCTTCATTGGCAGAAAATAAAATAAAAAAAAAAAAACCCAACCAAAAAAACAAAAAACCCAAAAAAACCAAACAAAACAGGATGGCATGTGGTTTGCAGGGTGCTGCGTGCAGCTGTGTTCTACCAATGCAGAAGCTGCCCCAGGCAGGACCCCTGAAAATAAGTCTCGGGCAAACCCCACAGGCAGCTGCATTTGGGGTGGGAGTCTGGCGGACAAAAGCATGAGGTCAACGAAGCGTTGCTCTCGGATGCTGACTGTGTTTTGCAGAGGCAAGCTAGAAGAAGTAAATCAAAATGTTTCATCCAGAACACATAGAGTCCAAGTCCAAGAGAAACAAGTGGCGTAAAATTAGCAGAAGTCAGAGTAATTGCCCTGGAACCCCAAAAAACCAAACCACACAACCCCAAGCTTCCACCAAATAAACCCAAAGAAAACAGGATGGCATGTGGTTTGCAGGGTGCTGCGTGCAGCTGTGTTCTACCAATGCAGAAGCTGCCCCAGGCAGGACCCCTGAAAATAAGTCTCGGGCAACCCACAGGCACAGCGGCATTTGGGGTGGGAGTCTGGCGGACAAAAGCATGAGGTCAACGAAGCGTTGCTCTTGGATGCTGACTGTGTTTTGCAGAGGCAAGCTAGAAGAAGTAAATCAAAATGTTTCATCCAGAACACATAGAGTCCAAGTCCAAGAGAAACAAGTGGCGTAAAATTAGCAGAAGTCAGAGTAATTGCCCTGGGAGGAGAAAGGACCGAGTCAGGCTTCGCGTGTTTTAGATCTGGGCTTGCAGGGAAGGTCCCTATTTTGCGTCCAGAGCACATATCGTTTGGTTTGGCCGTCCCGTGCAATCGTAAAGATTCCCCCTACAGCCTCTGCTGGATGAAAGGTGGGAGTCGTAGAACAAATCCCAGTTTTGCCAGTGCTGTTTAACAAGCTTTGCAGCGTTTTGGTACCTTGGTATGTGTACTCCTGGTACAAGGATGATGAAAATGAGTTAGAAGGGAAACTTGGAGTGTTTTGTAAATATCTGCTGTCCTGGGAAAGAACTAACAAGGGTGATAAATGAGAGAGAATTAGAGTTGGTTCGTGCGTTTATGATGAGAAATAGATCTGTTTGCAAAAAATTCATTACTGGGAATACATGGGCTCTGTGGAGAGCATTGAAAGAAGGCAGTGAACAAAATCCCAGTGACCCCCCTGCCCTCAGCCCCATCCATGGTGTGGATATCTTGTGTACGCGAGGCAGCAGGGCTGCGCTGATTTGGGCGGAGGGGGCCGGCTGCTCCCCAGGGCCTCCACACACCCTCCGGGCAGCAGCTGCTGGAGCCTAGGGAGCCCCTTCCTCGGTGGTGTTTTCATGCCATGGGAAAGAGAGGAGGCTGCTTGCTAGCCGAGTTGCAGCAAGAGAGGTTGTATGGGCTGTATGGCCTTTGGTGGCCATACAATGGCTTGACATTTCATTGTCATGAAATGATTGACATGCTTGACATGCTGGTGTCAACCAGGGATTACAGGTGACCCATGAAACCAAGAGTGCTTTCTCCCGGATGGGTGTTTCAGCTGCCAGTCCTCCACAGCCCACCCTTGAGTCCTGGCTGAAGTAACTTCTGCAGCGGGAGAAGATCTCGTCCTTAGCATTTCAGAGAGCGCCGTTTTCTACACGCGAGGGCAATTCAGCCTTTCCTCCTTTGTTTTCTGCTTTCTGTGTGCAATATTGCTGTAGCTGTCTGAAGCGTGCATTTCTCATGCTCTGCTGCTGAGAGCAAGAAAGGTCTCTCCTCCCCTGCCCAGCAGAGAGAATCCTACCTCTCTGGAAATTTTTCATCCATCATACTCAATTTTAAGCCATTTTCCTCATCTGTCTCTCAAATTATTTTATTGCAGAAATGACAGCAGCTGATAACGTACAACCTAAGTGTGGCAAATGCAAGATGCATGTTTGGTTTTGGGGACAGCAGTTGCCCAGGGGGAAGAAACTAGGAAACAGTGTCTTGGCTTATTCCTAGCATCTCTCATCTATTTGTGACATACCCAGATTTTTATAAGACTATAGACACAATGAATTAAACGTATATTAAGCACATACATTAGCGTGACACTTATATTAAAAACCAATAACTTAGAAGTCTGTGTTCCTTGCTGCTTATGCTTATTCTTCCTTATCCCTTTATATTGTTCACTATAAATTTTTGACCCTTGAATATCACAGTTAATTAATTTGCTTTGATCACTGCCTAAATCAATTATAATGGCATGCTAAATTTTATCCCCAGTAAAAAAATGTTGGTAATGGTTGCTTTAAATGCAAATATATGCTGCTTTAATATTCCAAGCTGGCATGCCCGCTGTTCAGTAAGGTGCCATCATTCGAGGGATATTTTCTTTTTTTCCAAATGCTTTAATACTACCACTTGGAGAAGCATACTTTTTTTCCCCATGTTGAGTTCCTGTAGGTCTAGCCAGATAAATATAAATTTGTGCTGAACTTTACCTCAGAGGCCTCAGACCTGGTTGGTGTTAAGCTAGCAGTTATGTCCTTAGGCTGGGCTGTAGGAGGGACTGATGGCAGGTCGTTGTGAGACAGAACAGTTTGTCCTCGCTAACAATTTTAATCAGAAACAAAGTGTAACATGTTTGTGATACACCGGATTTTTCTTTCCATTTGAAACATTTTCAAAAGTAATTGATTTTTATCTCCTTTTTTTATTTTTTTTTTTTTACCAGTCCTCAAAGCCCACAGAACAAAAGCATTTATTCCTTCTGAAAGAGGGCAAATGGGCAGTATTTTCAGCCTTCTTCATGCTGAATGCTGAGGGGAAGGACAGAGGCCATCACACAGATACTGCCTCACAGATATGACTGTTTGCAAAGGTGGCCTAATAAATGCAGGACAACATATGGGAATTATCATCACTGAGATGGAAGAATATTGTCCAAAAGTGAAAATGGAGCAGCAGGGGGGAGCATGCTGGTGTTACCCTGCCAAAAGCAAATGCTTTTGCCTGAAGTTTGCACCCAAGTCTGCAAGCTGAGCTCATCTCAGAGGCACCCAGCAACTGGCTGTCTCATGAGCAAGGCACCCATAGTACAAACTTAACTCACCCTCCCAGACCCCTGTGACTGTCTTTTTTTTTTTTTTTCCTAAACTGAAGTTGTGAGATCTTCTTTTCCTACAGGAAGATGTGGCTGAATTTAGAAAGTGCTGTGCATCAGAATTGTTAAACAGTTGTTAAACATTTTGGACTGCATGAGCGTATCTGTGCACCTCCTCACCTCCATGACTGGGAATAGTCCTTGTCGCAGGAAAACCAGCGTGGTCCTTCCGTGCTGTGGTACGGGACAAATTTCTTAAGGCCAGGGGTAAATGCTTAACAGCATGGTGCAGAAACAGTCCCTGCTTACTCCCCATGCCTCAGCATTTAACCAGGCAGGACCCAGGGCTGTGGACCAGGCAGGCTGCAAAAATGTATTGCTTGAGGTTTTTGCAATGGTAGAGCCTTGAGGAAGGCTCGAGAGCAGGACCTTGGCAGTGGTTGGCAGTTCCTGGCCATGGTAAGCAGCCATTGGTGTGTGTTTGACCACAGCCATGCTGCAGCACGCATGGCACATCTGTCCTCCTGCTGCCATCAGTGCTGGTCCCTGGCTGTCACCCACACTCACAGATGGTGCCCCTTGCACAAAATTTCCTCTCCTCCTTTGAGGAGCATGTGTGTAAAGGAATTTGAGGAATTATTGAGGTACCACCGGTAGTTGACTTCTTTGTAACCCATGGCCAGCCTGTTCTCCTTTGATAAGGATGCCTTTCCAAGGTCTTTTCTTGCAATGGTTCTCCCATTCTTCCTTTCTATTTACGTATAAGTATCCTCATTGTGGAGGAATCCCAAAATGCTTCTTCAGCACAAGTTTGCATGGACCCAACAGAAAAACAATTTTGCCACTGTCAGTGAGAACTTGCCCTCCAGGGCAGGTATTTCCAGAATAAAAAGCTAACCTTCCTAGATCCTAAGCAGGACATTTGCCTTCGAAACTCTATTCCCTGCTTTGTACCTTCCCGCATGCCAGCTTTTCCCCTGCTGGGATGAACCTCAGCTGAGTATAACCCTTATCCATGCAAGACCAAATGTTTCCTCTGTACCCTTCCACACCAAGTCAGACCGACATTGCACATGTAACCCTCTTTTGGCCATCTAATGGATGAGTTGTTCTTCAGCAGGAGTCACTGGAGAAGTCTGTCCTCTGCAGCTCACGCAGTGCAGTCAGGATATGAATCTCAGCTCTTCAACTGATCTGGACTTTTCCTTAGGAAATAAATGGTGCCCTGAAGCAAAATGAATGAACTCTTGCAACTGGAGTTTCATAGGGGGCGATTGGATAATTGATTGTTAGTCCAATAAAAAGTAACTGATGATGAGTTTGTGGACTCATACATCATTTTTGTGCTGTGACTGATATATTAAAAAAAAAAGGTAGGAAATGGGGAGAAAAATTGGTAGGATACGGTGAGGCTGATCTGGTTTGTGTTTTTTTTGTTTTGTTCTTGCTCTCCCAGGTGGGGCTGAGTACTGCAATAAGAAAAGCAAAAAGGATTATGAAGACTTCCAAGGACCTGGTAAGAAATCAGTGGCATTAGGGGATTTTACACTGTACTTGCATTTTATCAGGAGTGAGTCCTCGTTTATTTGGCTTGACTGTGAATCTACCTGATCAGCATTGAATTGAATGCTGCCTCACTCCTACTTGGTATAGGATCTGCTCTATCAGGTGACACTGGGAAGAAGGAGAGGGAGATGACAGAGAGGAAATATGAAAGTACAGGGAGAGCGGAGGAAAAACTCATGAAAAATGCAGACTGCTTGTAGAGTAGGGATAACTGTCTATATCCATCCAAGACATAAATTTATGGCTGAAATTCATGCAGCAGCTGAGGATCTCATCTGTGAGCTCCATAGTTTAGCTTCATACTGAGATGCTTGCTTGTACTAGCCCAACTCACCTTTGGTGGGGCAGCCAGCCTTAAAACAAAATACAAACAGGTATAGATTTTGTTTAGATTTTTTATAAAAGCAGGAATTTCCCACTCAGCCTTGCCCTGTGTTTTTCCATCCAGAGGAGCTTCCTTCCTTCCTTCCAACTTCTTGCAGTGTTTATTATTGCTCCTCCTTGTTTCATGCTTCTTCCTTGTCCCTTATCATCCCTGCCTTGCCCTTGTAGGCGTATGTAAGAGGGAGCCTCATGAACTGAGGCACCGCCTCAGAGCACAGTGACTGCACTTTGGGGTTGTCTGAAACTCAAGCAATAGCCTGAATGCAAATTCTGCTTATTTTTCCTTCATTTGTGAGAGGCTGCCTTTGCCTCTTAAACTTGAAAACTGGGATTTGAAATCTTTCCACCTCCACCAGTTTTCAGATTTATAGAGGATCTCTAAAGGGTAGCAGAGAAGGGAAGGGCAACTTTTATTCTGCTGGGTTCACTTATATGAGTCAGCTCAGCCATAGAATTTTCTTCCAGTTGTCTTCAAGCACATAGTGCAGAGCAAATGTTTTTGCTGTTTGTGAAGAAATTACTGATATTGCTTCTTCCTGAATCTTTACTGTTACGCTACTCACAAAAGTGAAAATTGAGGTACCTAATTAGCTTTTGGACAATTGCCAAATTGCCAAGCCAGGGAAATAATGCGCTGGAGAGATGGGTCTCAGCTTCTGCAGAACAGCAACCAGCAGGATCTTATTCATTTTCCTTCCTATTCAGCACTGTGCTACTGATGGCCTGAGATTTCCGCTCAAATTACATGAAATTTCTAATCCCTTTCCCTGGGTGCAAGTCCCCGCATTAACACCTGCAGTGAGATGCTCTGAGTCAAGGAGGTCCTCCCTGTTAGCCAGAGCCCGGGCACAGGTGCGGGGATGAAGAGGGATCAGCGTGCAGGTGCTGCCCCTCGGGACACAGGGCTCCTTTGCTCCCTTGCACATGCTTCTACCCTTGGCAGATTGGGCTGCGTCCCTTGCATGGCCAGCTCCATCTGGCCTTCGTGGGCCATGCATGCCGCGTCCTTTCAGGCTCTCCTGGATAGGATGGCATGGTTGGCATCAATCTTTGGGTGCAGTGGGTCTCCTTCCAGCTTGCCTCTACTCTCCCATATCCTCAAAGCTGCTCAATGCCCCAATACCCCTCTCAATCTCCATCGCAATGCCCTTGGCCCCTTTCTGCTCCTAGTTGCCCATTTAGCAGCGGGAGGGACAAGCAGAATGTGCCCTGGCTGGAAGCAGCAAGGTCATAGTTGGGTTTCTCCAGTCAATGTATTTCTAAACCTACATAACTGCACAATACAAGGTCATCTCAAATTAAAGCAAGTATCATGTGGTTGGTTGGGCCTCTCCTGCAGTTATTCCTAGCATGTTCCCAGTAATGACCCTTCCTGAAACTTATTTTAAAGCTAGAAAATTAAAAATAACAACATTCTAGAGGCATTACTGTATCTTGCAACTTCCCCTTCACCCAGATTGCAGTCCATTTCATTTCAAATCCAGAAAAACAATGTAGTAAGAAACACAAAGAAAGATCTCCAGGAGAGAGCACAGCGTGTATCACGTTTGCATAAGCCCCATATCCCAGAGTGGCAGCGTGTGGTGAAATAGTAAGAAAATCACCTGCACAAACTGAATGCTGCCAAATCATGGTCTGTTCACCCGCCCAGGCAGATACACGTGCCAGTGAGCAAGGGCCAAAACAGCTGAGGTTCTCTTGCTGCTTGGGGAGAGGGTTGCCTGGCTGAATGTGTGAGTGAGGATTCAGAAACCCCCTGTCTGTAGTAGGACATCTCCGCATCCACACCAGTGGGGAGAGGAAAACATTTACCTGGCCTCTTTTATGCTCTGGCTCATGCTGGACAGAAACGTCAAATTGTATCTGCTCATTCTTCCCAAATCTGCTATTTTGGTTGGGTTTGCCCCATTGCATGTTTGGGGAAAGCCTTCTGAAGAGATTCTTGCAAGTTAGGCGTCCCGATCTTTGCTTGGCAGCTGTGTGTGACTGCATAAAAAAGAGGTGTGATTATGGCTGCTGGTAATGAAAATGGGAGGTCTGTCTGGCTCCCAGGGGTTTGTATTTACTGGGCATTTCTTAGGATCATTGTGGGTTTGGGAAAAAGAGAAGGCATTTTCCAAATGTAGAGATGTGGAGATGTAGAGATGCAGTGAAAGTGGCTACAACCCAAAAAAATCTAAGAAATGTCTCCATTCATTAAAAGTAGTGAGCCATCTGTGAGCGACTGTCTTAAACCAAACACCAACAAGCATTAGGGGCTCATTATTATTCTTTTTTGTAAAACCAATTAAAATAATTATGGAAATGTCATTAGGGAATGTTAACAGACAATGAATAAAATACTGGTGTTATCAATCACTGTGAGCAGCTCTAGAACTAACTTTTCTTATGGGTGGAGAAGATACTAAGAGGCATCTTTAGGCAATAACAGTGAAAGAATGACGAATAGAGTCATGGCTGTAGTATTTAATGAGAGCAAGCACCATGCATACAATCCTGTCATGACTACATGGTCCCTGCAAGTTACAGCCTGGCAGCCGGAGAAGTGGGAAGCCACAGAGGTAGCCAAAAGGGAATTGCAAGGCAGAGGGGGGCATGAACCAGTCTCCTGCCCACCCACTCATGTTACACAGGGACAAGTAACCCATCTCCTCCCAAAAACACATACTGCAATCATAGCCTGGCTCTGCTGGGAAAGACCCTGTAGTGCCTGCTTACCTGTGGTCACGTGCTCTCTCACTTACACATGCAAAGGTTATCCCTTTTTTTAACCCTGTGCTCCTTGCTGCCTTTTGAGAGTAGCCCAAGACACCCTCAAAGAGCAGATGAGCTGCTCTCTTGCACATCCCCAAGCAGAGCTGGGGGGATGCGTAGGCTGGGGAGCCAAAGGCTGCTGTGCTCCGGGACGCTGCTGCAGCTGGTCCTCAAAGCTCAACTCAACATCGCCCATACCACTTCCAGGGCACCATCATGCCAACTGTTCCCACCAAGATTAGGCAGTCTGCTGGGGCTGCAGGGTAGTCTTCCTTTGAAACTAAGGGAGCTCCAGTCAGCAACAATTTTCAAATGACTAGCTGAGAAAAAGGCAGGAAGGATTTTATTCTACTTACAGCAAAGGGTAGACTTTAAATGCAGCCTGTGAGCAGAACGAAAGGAGGTTTACTTTATTTACTTATTTCTTGCAAGCCCTGTAGTTTGTCTTTCTGGTGCAGTTTAGGCTCCAGATGCCTTAACTTCAAAGGTTTTGCATGCTGTGACTTAGGCTGAAGTGAAAAGCCGACAGCTCAAATGAAGACACTGCAAATCTTAGCCTGATGGAAAGCTTTAAGAGCCTCTAGTGCTTTTGTAGGCAGCGCTGAGATTAGTCCTACATGGAGGAGGTGGGGGAAGTGGTTTCTTTCCTCTTTCCAGGAAGGCATACATAGATTTGCAAAGCTCTTTGAGAAAAGCTGGCATCCTGCTTGCGTGCCTCTCGCACTCTCTGCCTAGCTGGCCATACATACGAATGCACACACAGAGAGCAAAGAGGAGGTCTGTGTCCCTGCCGTGCTGCAGGATGTAGCCCTGAGGCAGCCAGGCTGGCAGAGAGATTAAATACAGGGACATGGATGGATGGGGAAGAGCATGGAGTGGCTGGAGCCGGAGCAGTGGGACCAGGTTGGTCTTTCAGCTTGTGGAAAGGCCCCACTCCCCGCTGGTTTTGGCCATTGCTATCCACTTCTTTTGTGGTTGTGTTCTGGTTTCTCCTTTGACTCCACTGACACCCGTTCCATTTCATGGTCCCCTCCAAGCCAGTGCGACTCCAGCCTTGTCGTTTGAGGGTGTTGGCCAGAGCTGAAAAGAGTTAATTGGTGGTGGTGGGGGTGCAGGTTTCTTGTCTCTTGTCTGCCTAACTTTCCTCCTTTTTTTCTCCTTTGATTTCTCTATTGCATCCTTCAGAAAGTGCACTGTCATGGATCCACCTTGGCACTGCAGGTCTCCCCCACAAGGCACCACTCTTAGAATCATAGAATCATAGAATCATTGAGGTTGGAAAAGACCTCTAAGATCATTGAGTCCAACCGTCAACCCAACACCACCACTCTTGTTCATCTTCACCTTGCTGCTTGGTCACTTCAGCCACCAGTGCAAACGTTAGGTGCCATCTTTGTACCAGGAGCTCTCTCCCAGTCCTCCTCTCCACATTGAGATCCTGGCTGTGCCATATTGCTGTGGCTGACCTCCTGCTCTGGGCAGTGAGAGACCCTCATCTCCGTCATCCCTTATTACCTGTCCAAGCAAACACCTTCCTGCCTTCCCTGGAGCTGCAGGGCAGTGCCCTGTGCACCGCTGCTCTACTGCCCCACTGCCCTGCAGTGCCACCTTGAAGTTCTCCTTCGTCACTCAGAGCTTTATATGCTGGGGTTACTGCCCCTCATGGCAATTAATAGCCTTTCATTGTCCTCTCCTGAGCTGTATCCCACCTTTCTCTTCTGTTATCTTAGATTTGGGTTGTAATCTCATTAGGGCAAGGACCATCTTTTTATTTTTGTGTGTGTATTTAAAGTGTGTAATACAAGGGAGCGGGTCCAAGGATAGAGCTCTTAAGTGCTATGGCAATATAAATAATTGCCCTTCCTTGCATAAAGTTATGACTATGTCCATCTGCTCTTCTGCTCCATATTTACATGCTGAATGCAGCTTTAGTGAATACAGTTAATTAGACTGTGCACCAACTAGCCTTCCGTATTTATAGACCACCTGAGTGCCCTCGGTGTTTGAAGACCACCTGAGCTTACAGTGGAACCACATTAGCAGCATGTTTTCATATTGATCACCGATGCAGCGCAATGTTTCCATAACTTGAGCATTCATTAGCAAGGTCTCTTTCAGCTTCTGAAGCTTCTTGGTTACCTGGGACCTCAACTGGATTGGCTCATGGTTATGGTATGCCAATGGTGACAAAGTTTATCCTGCAGCAGCTGTCTTTTACAGCTTGCAGGTCTGGCCAAGCTAAAGTCTAGTTATGAGATTTCCAGGTAAAAATCTCACTAAAAAAACAAGGGCATTCTATGCACATGCTGGATTCTCCTATTTCTCTTCTCTTTGGGATTGTTCCTGACCTTCAGCTTATCCACCCCTCCCCAAGCATGCAGAAACCAGCCTCATGGCCCACAATGTGTTGCTTTCACTAGTTTCACACTGTGTCAGATACCATCGTGTTTATTGAACATGAGAACAGTAATTTTTACAAAGACTGAAAAAAATAACTCTGGTACATGACAGGAGACAGTTTCACAGGAGCTTCTTCCTTCCTTTTTAATTTTACAGCTCTTTGAAAGCAAGAGTGTTGGTTTATAAAATGTTCAGTGGAAATCCTAAGTTGACTGCTGTGTCAGGTCTAAATCCTCTGGCATGTAGCATCCTGAATGGAGTCATTGGAGTTTTCAGATGTTTGTAGGCAGAAAATACATGATTTAGCTCTGGACTTTACTGACACTGAATATCCCAAGCCACGCCGCCTCTGAGAACTAATGCATCCATCTTCTTTTATTTTCTTCCCCTCCAGAAAAGCTTCATGGGGTTCTCAAGTGTATGTGCATTTCCTCTTCTGGCTAACCTGTGTGAGAAGATTAAATAGTATGTATAAATTTTTCAGTCCTTAACCAGAAACAGAATATGGTACATTTGTTTCTTTCAAAGGAGAAAAGTAATTCTCAGCTTCACAAAACTTCCTGTACTTTACTTCTGTTGGTTTCCTTCATAAAACCACTGTCCAGGTAGCATAGAGGGAGGTTACACAGAGTTCAGGTAAGTAAGAGTCCTTGGAGGCATCCCTGTGCCTTTTCAATACTTAAAATATTTGCATAATTTAGCACAACACACTCAAAGATATGACACCTCCAAGAGGGAGCCATTTTTCTCCTGAGATTTCTTGATCCCAAGAGACTCCTCCATTTCATTTGTTCACCCAGTTGTGGTGCCAATGGCTCAGTGCAGGAAGGCCACCGGCACCTTTATAACTCCATGAGGAAGATGAATTAAGTGGCAGCTGCAAAGTGTAGGAGAATCTCAAGGTATTTAAGAAAGCCGGGTGGATGGCGGAGAGGAAAACCAACTTACAGCAGTGTTAACTTTGAGTCGGTTTCTGAGAAAGGCTGTGGACATCAGCTGGGCTGTTACTCCTAAGGCGTATTTGTCAATGTACTCCAATGAGTTGGAGGAGGAGTCAAGCAAATCTAAGAATAAATGAGTATTATCAGCAGTATATTTTGACTGATTTGACTGCCAAGACTAACTTGCTCACCTATTTCTTCTCATATAATTGAAACTGCAAATATCAGGAGTTTATTGGGAATGGATTGATTAACACAAAACATCTTGTAAGTGCCTTTGAAATGTAAGTCAGGACAAATAATCTGAGTTTGAGCCCTGTGAGTTCAGACAGTAGAAGCAGGAATCAAATTGTATATCATGTTGGATCAAATGTGTTCAACTCTCCTGACCTCTCTCTCTCGTGCACTCTCTCTCTCTCTTTCTTTTTTTTTCTTTTGTGCACACTCTCTCTCTCTTTTTTTTTCTTTCTTCTTTCTGTAGCTACAAAAAACATGTTTGGCAGTTGGACTTTTTGAACTGGTCTGGATCTGTGCAGTTCCTTGCAACTGAACCTTACTGCAGAGAAGAAGTGGCCCAAAGCAGCACATGGAAATTATTGATTACAGAGAGAATAAAGGTTACAAGCCCCACCAGGAGTGCATGTCACCTGTCTCCTCTGTATTTTTTTTTACCACCCTGATGCTCATGCAGTCTGAGGAATCCACCCTCATTGCACCTATTTGCTCTCTGAGCCAGGTTCAACATCTCTTATGAGTTCAAGAGGTTGGAAAAACTCAGAAAGAAAACTTTCCAAGGAAAGGCTGATTAGCATGTCATTCAAAGAGTGCTGCCTGCTGGGCCAAATATGAAAGGCTGCTCAATGTAGGTGAGCTAAGCTGTGTCCCGTAGCCAAAGAGGGGTGTCACGCTTAGGCAGCATCATGTGAAAGCTAGCATGTGTCCAAACTAAAAAGGAAGGGGCACAGAGCTGACACCGTCGTTTTAACAGCTGCTTCAGGTACTGATAAAACCTATAGGGTTGCTGGAAACAAAAGTCACAATGGAATAAAAAGATGTAATATGCAGAGGTTAATGTAATTAAGCACTGTGGGGGACCACTGACGGCTCAGGTCTCCATTGCTTAAATCAAGGTAAAATACTTTTCTCGAATATGTTTGAGCATGGCCAGAAGTTCATGGGACTAGATACAGAAATTGCAAGATGAGATTCTGATCCTCACTTAAAGCATAAGGCCACCTGTGAATTCAGTGTCTAAGGTCCTTCTTCATATTAAATCCACTTTTACCCTATAAAATAAGCTTTTTTTTTTGTGTGTGTGTGTAGCTGCAGCTTGGTATGCAAACTGCAAGTCTTCTAGACTGAACACAACAGGAGAGAGATGGTGTAAAGACTTGAGGGATGAATATGAGAAAGGGTATTTGCCATTTGTTTTTAGCAAAAGAAGGCGCTTAGTCTCCATCAGCATAAGGCCCCATTCTGCAGCTCTTTCCCAGGTAGAAGGACTTCTGCCAGGCTGAGAGTAGTATTTATTTCCAAAAACAATAGTTACTTTTACCACAGATTTGATGTCCTAGTTTGTTTTAGAGACTGAAGTTTCGACACTGCAGCCATACACGAGTCCACCAGCCTCACCTCCAGAGCTCAGTCAGCAGATACTGAAAGAAGTCAGAATTTGCTCCTTTGGACAGAATCACTTTGCTGAAGTACAAGCACGGAGCTAAAATTGAATATGGAGCTGCGAACAACATGCCAGCTATTATCTATTCTGTACGCTTTACCGTGTTTTTTTCTTTCCGAATAGGTTCCCTTCCATATGTTAACACTGTGTTTGTTGTTTTTGTTTTTTACAGTGTCATAAGAAATAAACTGCCTTTTGAAGATTTTGACGGAGATAAATTTAGTACTTTCCCGGTAAGGAAAGCCTTTCCTTTGGTACAGTAATCCCTTGATAATGAGAACGTCTATGGGATTCCTCCTACTTTCTGCAAAGCCTTATTCATTCATGTGAAAATAGGTATAGGAGTGGAGTGAATGGAGGGTTTTTTTGTCATAAAAGGTGGTGTTTTTTCCGGATGAAAAAGCAATCATTCATTTATGCCACTTGGGGAGATGCACACATAAATCTGTGCTCCCTGCAGAAGCAAATTGCTCTGCTGCTGAGTGGTCTGTTTACTGAATTAATAAGAGGTGAAGTAAAGTCATATAAAAAAACAAATTAAATTGCCAGCTTGTCTTATTTCTGCACCAAAGTGTGCAAGGTGTCATTCATTAAAGCTTAGTAAAGGGACTCTGGAATACAACGCATTTACTGGGTTTTATTCCTACACCTTGAGTTAGATTCTCATTTTAGATATTTTAAATTAAAAGTGCAAGAGTAACAATGAACACCCTATCTATGTGCTTCTGCTGGCTTTCAGACATTGAGGGGCTATCACTGGCGAGGCAGAGACTGCAACGACAAAAACATCACCGTGTACCCTGGCAGACGGTAAAGCTTTCAATTATTTTAAAGGCTTCCTAATAATTGTGGCTTCTTGAAGAACAAGCTCCATTTTTGATTTTTGCCATACTCTAAGAGAGCACGTCACTGCTCGTTGCTTGATTTCACTGTGATGGAGATAAGAGGGGATGCTCGAGACCAGGGATGGGGCACATTAGCGTGAGGGGTGGTTCACAGGTTTCTTCCCTTTCTCTGAATTGTCTGCAGCAGAAATTGGTCAGACGGACCAAAGGTGGGGAGGCAAACCAAGCCGCTGAGGCTTATAAGCCTTATGCCACTTGAGCTAATGCAGGCTGTGCCTATAGGGAGCAGCAGGGTGGGAGGGCAAACAGCGGTGCTCGTGGCTGGCTGCTGAGGTCCAGCGTCCAATCCTCATGTTGTGTTGGTGGAAACGTAGAGCTAAATATGTGCCCTTCTAAATGAATATTTTCTAGATGAATACTTCTCAGCTGCCTGAGCATGGACTTCCATGCACACCTGAAATGGAGAGCACAGCCAGTTGTAACAGCATGGCCTTGAACAAGGCCCCCTGCTCTTGCTATTTTACCATGTGCTCAAAATATTCTTTCAAAAATAGAGCTCTCCTCTACCACAGGTTTGTTGAAAAGTTGTTGACCGGGACTGTTTTTAAAGCCGAGGCATTAACCGGCTTGTGACTAGATTAGCTGAGTTTAAGGGCATGGGCTTGGAAGAATTATGTGCCATCAGCCTGGGCAGCACACCTGCATTAGCAGAAATGGGCTTACAGAGTCCGTGTGTAGTGCCAGACTGAATAGATGGAGTCCCCCTGTAAAAGAGACCTGAGCTAATTACACTGTGTTATGGGCCAGAGCAAATCCTCATTGCACGGCACTGAATTTGGATTGAGGGGCTTGGTGGATTTCAATAAACACTTAAAAGCAAGGAAAAGGGCAGGGAAAAAGGGTCTGTCTTCTGCAAAAATCATTCCCATTCACTTCACCTAAATGAATATGCAGACTAAAAGGGTAAGTTTCATTCAGCACCTTCCAGTATTAACTTTAATTAATATTGCATTTTGCTAGGAAAAATTGCCTCTCCTGGATTCAAAGGAGGAAAGACCACCCTTCTGTGCAGAAAGGAATTGCTGATTATTTTATATTCTTAGTGAAAAATGGCACAAAGGATCTGATTTCCTCAAAATCCCCCCTTGCTTTATGTTCTGTAACACTGTATATCCTTTTGTAACTCTGTTTTAGTCCCGATAATTGGGATGTGAAAAGTGACTCTAACTGCAATGGCATATGGGTAAGTAAATGAAGTTACATTACTTCCTTCCTGATTGCTGCTTCTCTTTTTTCTTCCTTTTGAATTAGTCTTCAAATGTTTCTTTTTTATTTATTCTGGTTTATTAACTGATTTGGATTACTCCTATTTATTTACTGCCTTTGATATTCCAAGTAATAAAACTGTATTTATTAAAAAATAAGGAAACATAGGGGAAGCAGTTATGAATGAAGGTTGTTTATTGATGCTTATGATTATTTAAATTACAGCTATTATAATTAATTTAAATGTACATACACTTATTAAAATAATGTAATGGAAAGCATAATTATTATGATGCAGTGCTTCCTGGAGGCAAACATTCAAGAAGAACTGAATTCTCAGCCTCTGTTTTGCACTGCCATTTTTCAGGCACTAGATAGGTACTATCATCTGCCCCTTCTCTCCTCCAACAGGGCGTGGATCCAAAAGACGGAATCCCCTACGAGGAGAAATTCTGCAAAGGTAAATCTTTACAGTCAATACAAGAAACAATGTGTCTTTTGTATTCATTTCATTTCATGAATATTTTAATATTTTCACAGTCATTGCCAACGCAGGGGAAAGACAACAGGCTTTACAACTTCATGAGAAAGGCAAAATGGCAAAATCCTTTTTTTTTTTTTTAACTTTATGATGGGCAAAGATCTAATGTGAAAAGCACAGGCTATGAAAAGCACAGGCTGCTGGTAATTTCCTGTTAAAAGCCAGTTCAGTTATTAAGTTGAAATACACAGATCAGGAACAGCAGCAAATGGAGACCTCACCTCTGCATCTTCTGTGGTACCTGAAGCCTAGCCCAGCATATACACATATGCACAAATAACACCCCTACTAAACAGCCGTGACTACAGTTGCTGCTCACCTTGCCTTATATTTAAATCAGCATCCTGGGGATGAACCATTGCCTGGCAAGACTTTTCAACATTTTTAGATGAAAGGCAGTCTACAAATGCTAAGTAACATTAATTATAAACCACCCAGATTGTTCCAGCAGAAATACTCATATAAGTAGCACATCCACCACCCAGTTCTAAGGAACTTTGAGCAATTTCCTGAGTAATTTGATTTCCCTAAATGTTTATGTACTTTTTAATGCATATTCTATGTGTAGTAAAAATAAATGTTGGCTGCACAGCAGAGCCTCTGCTGAAATAACACATCCATCCTTGAATACAACCAGGATATTTTCTGATTAGCAAGACCTCTCCCTGTTTTTCATGCCTAATACCCAGTTGTTTCTCTAGGGTTGTTGGCACATGCCTGTTAGTCAGTTTTTGCTGCAGATGGAGCGAAAATCCCATTGCAGGGTCTGAGCATTTCAGCCACGTGAAGGGTGGTGTAGCCAGTCACCCCGTGACTACATCAGTTGCCATTGCTGTTGCTCTGTAAGGGTTGCTCTCCATCCTCTGTTTCGGTTTGCTCTTTCTACTCATGTGACTAATAAAATGCATTAATTAGGTGCAGACTCACAAGGGGTCGTGCTGTTGGGAGACTCGGCCGGCGCTCACTTCCACATCCCTCCTGAGTGGATGACTGTCACGCAGATGTCAGTGGTGAGGAATCGTGTTTGGGTTGCCAAAACCTCTCTCCGGTGGGTTGCCGCTTGCCTTCTCCCCTGTGCCGCAGGTTGCCAAAAGGAAACAAGTGCAAAATGCCTCATAGCACTGGAATTTATAGTCATGGTCTCACGTGTGTCAGTGCCCTCCCGTGGCTGCTCTTCTGAAGATAAAAAGGCATAGCCCTGCGCTACCGCCACTCCTCCGACATCTGTGCAATTGGGTCAGGGAAGAGTTTGGCTTCAGTGGCCCAGTGCTGTGCCAGAGACACAAACCAGGACATCTGGCTTTCCACACACGTGCCTGCGGCTCAGGGAGACCCGTGCTGTCTGTGGGATCAGTCCTGCTGTTAGCGGGCTTGTTGGTACGGCTCCTTGCTGTGCTAGTGTTTCAGAAATGACCCTGCTGACAGTCCGGGAGCTTCTGTTTTAGGCATCTGGCTTTGAAATGACGTGTCCTGGATTGTTTTCCCTCATCTGTGGCACATGTGAAATAGGTCTAGTAACTCCAGTCTTCAGGCTCTGAGGCTTGTTGAAGAAATACATCTGCAGGTGTTCGAGGGTCATCCAAGGGTTTATAATGGACTTGTCCTAAAGGGAAGAGTTTCTGTAGTGACCGTAAAATATCACTACCACACTGATGTCTACCTTTGGGCAGTATCCCAGCATTTCCCATTTTCAGACAACAACAAAATGCCCCTGACTGTGAATTATGCTGAGCCTCAGCTGTTGCAGTTCACTGGCGTGGAATGAAATAATTGAGGGGAAAAGATCATTCCAGCAAATTGCAATTGGGGGGGTGGAGATAAATGTGCAGGTATGCTCCTGTCCTTCACTGTTGTTTCCTATCCCGAGCTGGTGTCACTCCCTAGCCAGGGAGGACTGTGCATTGTCCTTCTCTGCACAAGTGTCTGTTGCATGGGGGTGAGCAGATAGATTGTCATTGCTCACCTTCCCTGGTGAAAACCTGCTACTCCTCCACTGACCTCTGTAGAAGGATATGGACATCTTCTGGAGAACAATACTTATTCCAAAATGTCAGTAGTTACAGTGCTGTTGGAGGTCTGAGAGTTTTGTGTATTTTCCTACTTTTGCTCCCAGAGCTGACCTGATTTAAATGTTGCAGATTAGCAGTTGTTTTTCTTTGTTAAACGTTTATGAGCAACAATTAGACGAATGACACTGATGATAGAGCTGATGATGAGCATAATAAATTAGCACTAATGATAATTGAGATTATCTTGTCTATAAAGATGATAATAATACTGATGGTGATGATGATTCTGGCAGTAACACTGGTAGCAGAGCCCTGTATGCAAGAATAGTTTTAGACTATGTCAGCATTTTATTATCACTGTAATGAAGGTTTAGAAAGCATTTCTCTTGCTTGAAGCTTGCTGGTCCACTAGCTGGATGGGTTGAGGGCTGGTAATGGCATGCAGAGACAGAAGCTTCAAGGTCGGGAGTTGGGGTGCAGATTATAAAGTGAGTTTTGATGGCACCTTGTAACTGTCTGATGGGTGTAGAGTAACTTGCACAGGAAGGGAACTGGTGCTCTCTGTGTAAGGCCCAATAAATATATGCTTTCAGTGCTCAACTCCATCTGGCCAGCGTGTGGGGAAGATCAAGGACTGGTTGGAAAGGGAGAAGTGGGCTGCTTTCCTTTGCAGAAAGGGTGACTCCAGGTTAGAGCTAGTGCCCTGAACTGGGGCAAGGAGGGCAGAGAGAGATGTGTTCACTCTCCGGCCTTTCGTAGTCATTCCACTCACAGTATGTAAAATAAAAGAAGTTAAAACATCACTGGAATTGAGAAGCTAAATACAATATATGAGTAAGTAAAAAAGAAGCCTGGACTTCACATGCAGACCCAGAGCTGCTGCAAGCCAGTCCCAGGAGAGACGTCTCTCGTGCACCAGTACAAGGCACCAGGGCTGGCGTCTGTTCCAAGCCCATTAAAAAAGGGATGCATTAAGGTATTGCTTAAAATACCACTTACTGGAGCTAGCAGAAGAAGGTAAAAGAGGATAGTATAGATAGCCTTATGTCCCTTCAGATGCTGGGCACCCCAAGGTGGGCAGCATCAGACAAACCTCTGACAGGGGGATGGCACGGTATGTTGGTAATGTAGAGGAACTTGGAGAAGTCAGTTATAGCTACTCGGGGCAGAGCAGGGCTGGGCAGGAAATACCTTGCAGGAGATGCAGCCCTCCTACAGCTAGCTGAGCTCTGTGGTAGCAGAGCCGCCCAGGTGTCTGGGGTACGTGAGATTCGGGATAGGAAAGAACAGGTTCTTTTCTAGGACTATTTGCAAGCTTTTCTACTGACCTGGCAAAAATACAGTAGTTGAATATTAATGCAGAGATAGAGGGAGTTAGTTCAGTCATATAAAAAAACCTAGTATCTGTGTTTAAACTAAAGCAATAGTAAAAAGTTATTTAATTTGCAGCTCACCTTAAGTAAGAAAGTTGTCACCTGAGCACAAAAGTGCTAGCAAAAAAATTTCTGAGCTAATTCAGACTTTGTCACTGCCTCTTCCTCTTGCTTGTTCTCTGTGTCTTGCTTTCTGTGTGTAGAATGGCAACAGCAGCAGTTTAGCTGCCTCAGGGTTGTGAAGGTGCAATACTGTTGTCTCTTGATGCATAGTATTAAGTACCAGTGGCAAATATCCTTCATCTGTAGGTTTAATTAACAAATTAACTGGCTTCAATCCTTTTTCAGTGTAAGGTCTTCCTCAAGGAGAATGTCTAAGCACATCCAGGGATGGTTTTGTGACCAGAGAAGGTGCGGAGAGTCTATGTCCTAATCTCACAGAAAACATCCTTAACCTGGGACCACAGCAAGAATTTGAAGTTAGGGCTCTGAGAGGGGAGGATAAGGCATTAGCCTCGTGTACCTGCTGTTCCCCCGTGCTGTCAAACTCAAGACACTTCACTTTGATTCTGCCAAAATTTCTTTGATAAGACACGTACGAAAATTACTTTATCAAATGGTTTTCTCTACAGTCAATACTAGAGTCAGTTCAAAGCTTTAATTTCCACTTCAATGGAACCTCAACCCTCTACGTGGAATTCCAAATAGGACTTCCTCCCCCGCCCCCTGTCCAGGATTTTTATCACGTGTACAAGGAAAAAGTTCTGTGCCTGCTAATTCAGATTGATTAAGTGTATTATTTTATTACTTTAATTTTTTCTATATTTTTACGTATCTATTTTATATACTTTATACATTTCATATTTTCCTTATTTATATTTATCCTTATACATGTTCACATATACAAGTGTAAAGTAAAATTTACACTTGGTAGCAATGCTGTGGGCCCTTCTGTTAATCAGCACTACATCAGTGGCAGCTGTTAATTCCTGTTTTAAAGCTAATTAGGTGGGGAAATAATTTTTCAGGAGAGATGCTGAGAATTTAGTTAAGAGGCTCTGCAGAATGGTTGCTTTTCCTGATTATGCTGCACATAGTCTACCATGCCAAGGAGCAGTAGCGATGAGTGAGGGAAGAAAGAGAATGTGAATGAGAAACTTCCTCACTGAAGCAGGCTCAGGATGTCTTTTGGGTAACCGGATGATTAGCACAGGGGTGACCAGATGGATATTTGGGCTGAACAGCTTTGGAATTCAGATGCCTGCGCCATCATCTCGAAGACCATTGTTGGGAAGCTGTTACATACTGGATTTTGGATTTCCCGGTCTAATCGGGAACTTACTGCCCTCTTAGCATCGGCCTCTCACAGGTTAATAACCCCCCTGTGTGATCCAGTGCAGGGGGACATGCTCCTGCCATACGTCCCATGTCAAGGAATGCATCAAGTTGCATCATTCACTTGTCCCTTGTCAAGTCACCTAGTGCCTTCCTGGTCTTTCCGTTGTCTTAAACCTAAGTGACCAAATGCAGAGACCTGAATCACGTTCCTGCATTCTTCAAGGAGGCTGTTTTGGGGGGGGGGAACTTGCAAGCATCTGAGCACCAGCCTGCCCGCACTGATGTAGCTTCAGGCATTCCCAGCCCATTTTGTCTGTCGCCGAGCTTGAGACATGCACTATATCAGAGCAGGGGACTCATGTTTTCCAGCGCTATTTCCAAAGCCTTTACCTCGGAGGCAGTCACAAACACAGTTATCATCCTTCTTAGAGTATGTTCTTTCCACAAAGCGTACAGAGACACTACTTGGTGTGGAAAACGTCCATCACAAGGTGGACATGTCCTTGAAAGCTATAGCTCAGTCATGTTATTTCTCCAGTTAAAAAGCCCCCCAAACAACAAAAAACCCACCCCACCCTATGTAGCACTAGGCGAAGTCACAGGTACCTTGATTTTGAAGTTTTTGACCAACCTGGAACTACTGAGTCCCAAAGTCTACCCTACAGGGATCTAGCTGAGGTGCAGCAACACAGAGAAAATGATGTTGGGACCATCACTGAGGATACCTGCCAGCATGTTCCTGCAGAGGCAGCCGAGCATGTGGCTCTGTCCTTAACCTGCCATCACTCCAGTAAATCCCCAAACACCCAGAGTACAATTACAGGAAGAGAATTTTACAGCTGTAAGAAGGGGATGAGTCAACTTTATTTTGTCTTTCTGCTTGTCAATAGGTTTTGGGTTTGCCAGGCTTTTCTTCTTTTAAAAGGTTCAGCAAGAATAGAGCTGAATATTCATTCCTTTGACCTGAAAATTCAGACACTAAAAATGAAGTGTAATGCGGTAGACATGCACTTTATGGGGTTTAGCAAAGCAGAATAAGTACTGGGGTTTTTTTTGAGGTGGATAGTTTTTGCAGAAAGCTAATGTTGAAAACACTGGTGTGTCTAGTGATGGATATTGTGCTCCTGCTGCTCTGTCCATCTGCTTACAATTGACTTCCAAATAGCTACTAAATGCAGCATTTTTCTGTTTTATGTCTGGGATAGAAGCTTACTTTTAAATCTCATTTTAGAGACAATTTTATCTGGAGATAAAAGCACTGTATATATAAATGTGCTGGAAATGATACCCTTTCTAAGAAGATGCATTTTAAAACTCTTGGATCTCTATTTCATGCTGAATAAAGAGAAAATAAATCCCATGTCTATCTGTAATCCAGTAAATATCTATTTGCCCACAAACTCAAGGGGTTCTCAGGTTTCATTAAAGTAACTGTTTCATACTATGTATTACCTATTAAAAGAATTCAGCATCTCTTTAAATGCGGGTTCAGGATGTCCCAAACACTTATCCCACTGACTTCTTTTTTTGCACCACTACAGAAAACAGGAGTTTGATCTGTGAAAATCTTATTAAAAACATTCTCTAGCTTCCCTCTAAATCCAGTGAATTGCAGGCAAGCTTCTCCCAGCTAGTATTGTGATGACTTAGATGCTGCATTTGGGGGGGAATAAGGTAATCATTTTGCTAATTTCAAATCTATGTGCTTTACAGAGTAGAAATGCCATACATGCTTTTTAAAGAGATAGGCTGTGCTTTCCTCAAGAGCTCTAAGGCTTGCTTATTTGTATACTTAGAATAAGAAGGTTGTCTGTGTTACTTAATGCTATCACGAGGATTTGAACAGTGTTAAAGTCAGTATTCCCCTTCAAATTAAGGGATACTTCAGTGCTTTCAGGATTTCTGGGACCAGCATTTCTAAAGACTCATATGAGTGTTAGGTTTCCAATGCCCTTTTGTGTTCTGATTCTGAAAATCTCTTGCCATAGCAACCCTGAACCTCCTTCCGCTTAAGCGCAGCTTGGCATGTGTGCATTAGCATCAGCCGTGGCTTTGGCCGCCCCGTGTTTCAAGGTAGGACACATCTAGGAGGTGAGAACGTTCCTTCGAAATGAGACCCATCTAGAGCATTTGAGGCTAAAATACGGCATTTGAAGCTAGGCTGGAATAACTTTCTAATCATTGTCTGCTAAAATCTGGCACGTAGTCTGAAGCATGGTTTCTCAGCCAGAATATTCTAGAGAATGGTATTTAAACAAGGCTGTGCTCAGAAGAGTTTTAAACTAAAAGTCAACATAGATCCACCTCTAGAGTGGGACACATTTGCATCTGAGACTAAGCGAAACGCAGTCTGTTAGACCATGCTTTCCAGACTACATTGCTGCAGAGTTCAAGGTCTAGCATTGTTCTGAAATTTCCGTTAACTACTCATCTTCACCCATTGGTCCTGAAATATCTTCAAAAGTCCAGCTTTAAGTGCTTTGCTGGAACGGTGTCAATGCTAAACGTATATACAGTTTTCAAATGCAACTATAATTCTGGGCTCAAATGTTCCTTTCCAAACCAATTTGCAACTCAATTAGGTTCTAGCTAATTCGTATTCAAACTAAGTTTGCAGGGGAAAAAAAAAAAACAGTTAAAAATTATTGGGACTTGTCCAATGAAAATATTGTTTTGGATTGCCAATGGGAAATAATGAGAGAATTGGTCATAGAAGGATTTGTTTTAAAAATATTCAATCATTTTTGGGCTCTTTTTGTACTCTTATATGCTGTGACTTATAAAAGATCATATCTATAGTTTGTTCCATGCTAAGTGACTATTTCAATATTTCTGTCACCTTTAATGCAAAGCTACAAGGAGGCAAATATTGCAAATGGCCAAGCCATACTGTGCCCCTCCACTTCTGCTCATAGCTGTGCTCTTGGATTAAGTGCTTGTTTGCACACAAAACTATCAGATTTGCAGCAGGCTGATTTGGAAGTTCCCTCCAGTCTTAAAAACATATTAATTTTTATGTATATGTATATACAGATACACACCAGGACACATATATGTATGTGAGAGAGAGAGAGAACCAACTGAAAGATAATTAAGCCAGACCCATTTTCACTTTGGTAACTAATGCAGATCTACTGTAAGTAGGTCAAATATGCTGTTACATGCTTTAAACTGGCATCTGCTGTGCATTAGGCTGCTTGGAGCTTGGCTTCAGGATTTCTTCCCCCCCACAACCCCCCTTTTCTCACTTCTCCTCCTCTTTCCCTGCGTCTCCCCCCATTCTCTTACAGTCAAAACCCGTAGGCATATACTCAAGCATAGCTCCCATTCACCTAAATGATAATTTTCTGGGAATGAGGACTTGGTGGGGACCCCAAGATTTCATTCTTCTGTGGCTCCTCAGTTACCTCTGACCCTCCTGGAGAAAGAGTTACCCACCTGCTTGCTGTTTATAGCAGTGAGGGTTTAAGGAAACCCCACAATTGCTTGAAAAGAAAATGAAGCTAATAAATTACACGGATTAGACCAGCCTGTAAGTTCTCTGATTTTATGTTTTGACCTTCTTTTGGTTATTACCTTTTTCATCAACAGTTTTTCAGTATGAGCACACTGGATTTATGCATTTGCCTTTGTGAGCGTACCCCGGACTAGGAGAAACTGAGAATTTACTCCATGTTCTCGTCCTTCTGAGGTGGCACAATTTCTCAAGGCCATTTTTCTCGCCTTTCATGATTTTTGACACATTCACAAATCAAAGTGGAAATGAACAGGGCACTGTGTTTTGAATGTGCAACACGGCTTGCATCTGCATAGAGGCTTTCGCAGAGGAGGCACTGTGTTTTGAATGTGCAACACAGCTTGCATCTGCATAGAGGCTCTCGCAGAGGCAGTTGCCTAAAAAAGCGTTAGGGACTAATACCAGCAAAAGCAGAGAAGGGTAAAGGTTGCATCTATTTGTGTGGGAAGGTTATGGCAGAGCATGCATTTTTCTCCCTGGTCCCCGCCATGCTTAGGGGCCTTTCTGACCCTGTTGCTTCAGTGACGACCCAGAAATTTGCAGTGAGGACCAGGCAGAGGTTTTTCAGGAGTCAGATGCTCGCAGTTCATCCTGCTGGAGAGGGCAAGGGAGCATCGAGTCAATTTGACATTATCCCTCTGCTGCATATGCTGGGGACATCACGCTGTCATCTCTCCCTGTGCCCTTTGGACAGGATGGATGCTGCAGCAAACAGCTGCCGCATTGGTGGTCTACATCTGCAGTACACACTCCACCTCAGGAGGAGTTTTGGGCTCTTCCAGACTTAAAGGGTAGCAGGAGATGCAGTTCAGATATCTCTTCTGCTTTTCCTTCCTCCGCCTCTTGATACGCCCGTCTTACAAGAGTCAGCTTTTTAAGTATATGTGTAAATAGTTACTGCTACGGCTACAGTTACTATTGCTGCTGCCCGGCTAATGCTCCAGCTAAGAAGTGCTCGAGTTTGCTGAAAGGATTTTTTGTCTGTGAGGGTGAAACCGTGTTGATTTAAAAATTTCTCTTTCAGAAATCATTCGCTAATCTCCCAATGGCTTTCACCGATGAGCTTGACTGGCCCCAGTTCTCAGAGATCACTGGATTTCTCAACTCCACCATCGGGTAAGCCAACAGGCAGGGTGGCCAAGTCGTAGCCAGTCTCAAGGTCCCTCAAAGCTCAGCAAGAAAAAAAAAACCACAGTGCTTGAAAGGAAAGATAAAAATGCTAGTCAGCTCTGCTCCTGCTCTTTCTAAAATCAAGATTGACACTGGATCTAGGGATATTTTAAAATCTTTTAAATGTATGGACAATGCACAATACTCTGGCCCAGTCTTCCTGAAATTCAGGGTAGGTTTTAGAGTTGGTAAAATTGTAATTTAGAAGGAGAAAAAAATGAAGAATTAAAAACCAAACTCGCTTTTTTCAAAATTCTGGGGCAGGGAGAAGGGGAGCATTGCTGAAACTGACAAAAATCAGCACTTTCCTTTTCTTAGTTTTTTTTTCTCTTTCCCTCTTCCTCCTGTTTCCTTTTTGCTGCTGAAACAGTGGAATAAATGGTAACCCCGGGGTTATTTCTCAGTTTTCCTTTTCTTAGGTTTTTTTTCTCTTTCTCTCTTCCTCCTGTTTCCTTTTTGCTGCTGAAACAGTGGAATAAATGGTAACCCCGGGGTTATTTCATGGTGTTCCCTTTTTGGGGGCAAACTTTCTTCCCCCTTTTTTTTTCACATTTAGAGGGAAGTAGCAAAAGAATAATTTGGAAGTGCCTGTGACCTAATTTGCTGTGTTACATTGGCTCATGTGGATGGGGAAGGATGCAGGGATAGATCGGAAAACAGAAGTCTCTGCCAGAAGGGAAGGAAAATGAAGTCCAAACACAAAGAAAACACCTTGAAATACCTGCAGTTTTAACTGTGAAGTAAAAAAAAATTTCATAATTTTGTTAATCATCTTTCTGGCCAGCATTAAGAGGCCCTTGACTCCTGCCAGAACTGAAAGATACAGTCACCAACAGTGCCTGGTCTGGTCTGAGTGTCAGATAATTTTTATTTTATATGTCTAAGATAGGTCATGAATACAGTGAAATGCTAAACCAAGCATGAGTCAAGCCTAAAGAGGCTCTCTACCAACAGAATTAAAAAGTTGGCAGAATATATTATTTTCCGGAAAAAATATCTGTTGCACCATACACTTGTACTTTTTGCTCCCTTTTTCCTCCCTGTGCAAAACCCAGGCTCCCAGCCTCAGCTACATTCACACAGCACGTGCTTTAAGGAGGCATACTACTTGACAAGCCAACAGAGAAGATCTATGCAGCCTCCTCTTTCAGAGTTAGCAGCAAAACTAACCTTTAAAAATCTATTACAATGTCCAGCTACTCAATACAGAGTATTTAACTGGGCTCCAAAGAATCTGAAGTTCACAAGTGATCAAAGCTTAGTATTGACCCTGAAGTTGTCAGTGATAGGTCTTGGTTCAGTGTTTTTTAACCTCTTCCACATCTAGAAGAAAAAAAAGGACTGTTTGGGACTTGAAGGCATTTTTAAGAGAAGTAGCTCAAAATCTCACACCACAATGACTGAGTGTGGTGGAGACTGGTAGGCAATGGGCAGCGGGAGGCTCCCGTTTACTCTGAGCCTGCAGAAATAGAGACACAAACTAATGTGATCCGTGCCCATCTTTCCCACCCCCTGATGGGTGAACAGGGACACCACTGGTTAACTAATATCCTCTGACCGAGAAGGTCTGTTTGCTTCTCCTCCTCCGCCTGCCTGCTATGCTGAAAACCAAAGAGCTCGGGCGTTTCTTGTGTAGGCCATTGCATGGTGACTGGTTGATGTTATGTGTTTCTGTGTAGGTAGTTACTTTTACCCAGAATGCTGGGTTGCATCAACAAGGGCATCACCAGCAGAGATAAAGAAGTCATTATCCCACTCTACTCAGCGCTTGTCAGGCCACACCTGGAATACTATGTTCAGTTTTGATCCCCGCTATGCAAAAACGATGTGGACAGGCTGGAGAGGGTCCAGAAAACAGCCACAATGATCAAAGGACTGGGAAGCCTGCCACATGAGGAAAGGCTGAGAGAACTGGGTTTGTTCAGCCTTGAGAAAAGAAGGCTTAGGGGAGACCTTATCACCATGTTCCCCTATTTAAAGGGTGGCTACGAAGAAGATAGAAACTCCCTTTTTACAAGGAGTCACATGGAAAAGACGAGGGGTAATGGGTACAAGGTACTCCTGGGGAGATTCCAGCTGGACACAAGAGGAAAATTTTTCACAGTGAGAACAATCAGCCATTGGAATAATTTCCCCAGGGAAGTGGTGGATTCCCCAACATTGGACACTTTTAAGATTCCAGCTGGGCAGGGTGCTGGGCCAGCTTGTCTAGACTGTGCTTTTGCCAAGAAAGGTTGGACCAGACGATCCTTGAGGTCCCTTCCAACCTGGTATTCTATGATTCCATGATTCTATGATTTTTATTGCTGGTTTCAAAACTTATTGCTGTCTTCTGTTTCTCTGCATTCATCTAAGTTTGCTGTTCTTAAGCCATGATTAAGTTATCTGATTCCTTCGGTGTCTAAGTTCAAACACAAAATCAGCAGCCCCAATAGAGATGACCTTGTACTCGTGGCTGGGAGCGCAGTCTTCTCATCAGCTTCCCTTTGGGCTGTTACCCTTTTCATTTGCATTTTCATTTTTCTCAACAGTGCAAAGTAAAGGAGAGAACTAATCACAATCAGGTGTAACCTGTTTTCACATCAATCCATCCAAGATTTATGGCGTTGGGAAATGAATGCCCTGCCAATATTTCTTCTGTTTTATTTACAGTTCCATAACAACCAATTGAAAAGTCAATTAGTGAGCAATCAACATGATTGTTTTGATAAATGATGTATAACAAAAAGGTTTCTAAACACCTTATCTGAGACCAGGATAAAAGCATCCTGGATGGAACAATTTCAAAGAAACTCTCCATCAATTTATAATTTCTGAGAGGATATCTTGGCTTCCATTTTAGGCCACGCTGTTCAAGATAAAAAAGATTTATGACCACAAAAAAGAGAGGTGGTGAAATAGAAGTATACACATAACTGGGGCACAGAGTTGTTCAGAGACGAGAACATACTTCATTTTTAATATCAGCTGTGTTTTCATCAGTATCTTACGAGTTTAGCAGCTTGCATTTTCTCAATTTATTTCAGAGGCTGGACTGACTCTCTGTATCTACGCTTACGCAGGAGAAATCGCTGTAATCACAGAGACTTACAGAACATTTCCCAAAATGGTATGCTAAGTTTTTTCACTGGTTTTTTTTTAACCTTACTAGTCTGATACTTGGTGCTGCATTAATGAACATCTTTCAGAAAGAAAAAGAAACCCCTTTCTAATTGCATGCATTTCTTATGGAAAAATAGAGATCAGCACTTATTTAACTCAGCATATTTCCTCAGGCTCTGAGTAGGGAGGTGTGTGGCTTGATCACTTTTATCCATGCATTGACTAAGAATTTCCACTGGGCTAAAAACCAGTGTACCCACTGTAACTCTATGGAGGGTTTTGTTGGCCATGGCCAAAAGGGGGGATTTAGAGGGATATCGCTAGTAGTGATGGAGCTAAAAGGTCTGCCCTCCATCTCCTCCGAAGGCAAGCATGCCCCTGCTCTGCACTCCTGCGGGGGATGCTGGGAGGGCCCTACTCTGCACCCCACAGTAGCACAGGGGACTCACAGGGCTGCCACACCGGCAGGCAGAGGGGGCACAAAACAGTTGCCAGTCTCATAGCAAGGGTGTCCGTGATGTCCTGTGACATCCTTTGGAGCTGGAGACCAGCAAACATAAGTTCTCTTGCAAAACTGGGGAGGTCAATGGTGCAGATATCTTAATATGCTCTTAGAACAGATTTTAAAGGAGTAATCAAGGACACACAGGTAAATGAAAATTAGGACAAAACAACACTGTCAAGTTTTAATTAATTAATTAATTTAGTGAGGCTGGCTTAACATCTTCTTTCTATGAAATAACATCCTGTGTTGGCAAGTGTATATGCAGCAGACCTAATCTACCTAGATTTAAGGAAAATGTCTTGCATGGTACCTCACGGGAAATGTTTATGTACAGTAAAGAAAAGGAAGATTAATACAAGAAATAAGAGATGCATAGAGAACCAGCTAAGCAGGGAAGGTTTGAGCTAAGTGAGTTTGAGAGAGGAGCCGTGTCCCTCATGCACCTCTCCTGAGGCTAACGCTGCTTAACATTTGGAGTGGTAACCTTAGATCAAAGACCAAGGTGCACGCTTGATGGCATCTACAAATGATGCAAAACTGCAAAGCATTAATCATCCTGAAGTGGGCCACATCCTTACACGGGAATAATTTAGATGAGCATGGGAACAGCAGTGACAGCAATTGCAGCAAATACAATTGTAAAAGACATGCATGTCAGAGATAATGACGAGACTCTTGTCTGTAAACTAGTGGCTCATCGGCCAGAGGTGGTGGAGGGAGAGAGGCCTTGGGGTGCAAAGGGACATTTGAAGGAACAGCTGGAGTGCAGGATAGAGCTGGAAAGAGACTAAGGAGGTTGCAAGGTGCATCACGCACAGCATTTTCTCTAGAGACAGGGAAACAGTCCTTCCTCACATAAGCCACTGATATGACCTCAGAATTGGGTGCCCTTTGCCTAGGGATGACCGACTTTGGTGGGAATAGATACAGAGAAGGGCTTTGGGGAAGATTAGGGCAATGGAGACTTCTGAAGGGATGTTAAGACACCTTGGCAATTGAGCAAAGCAAAAATTAAAAGGGATTACAGTTTTGAATCCTTCTGAGGCATAAACACCACAGAGTGGGAAGAATGGTTTAAACTGAAGGATAGTTCTGGTACAAGAACGTGGGTTTTCATTAATCCTACCTCTGTTTGGAGGGGAAATTTAAAAAAAGGTTACTATGAAGGACTGAAAACCTAGAATAGCCCTCAAAACGGAGGTGTGGGGGCAAAAAAGAAACCCTGAGTTGTTTCAAGACAGAATTTGATTAAATTTGTCAAAGGGGTTGCATGAAGGGATGACAGTAATCTCCCTTAGAAATTAAGGTTTATGACGTTAGCTTTTGTGTGTTGGATTAGGTGATGTCCCCAACAGCAGGTTTAAAAGATACTTGATTGTTCTGTGATTATCACATTGTGTTTCTATTGTATTTAATTAATTTTCATGCTTCAGAAAACTGGCTGCAGAAGCTTGGGAAAATTTATTCTTCTCAGGTAGATAATTTGGCTTTATGGGATGCTCTTCCTCTCCAACAGATGAGTCATGCTGGCTGCAAGTGAGGAGCACTGCTGCTCCTAGTGCTACTTAGAAACTTGTTAAATGTTTGGGATTTCCTGTGAGATTTAGGATCAGAAAGGGTCTGCCCCAGCCCTCCACCTCTGACAGAGCTCTTACCAGGCAGAAGAGGTTGTACAGACAGGTAGCGTGATGCAAGGATCACTTCCAGGCTCAGGTGGGCATTTTTGCCTAAAATATTGCCTTCTGGTGCCAGCACCGATGCCACTGGCAATGCCTCTCATACGCCTTCCTCCTTCCTGTGGCACACGTGGTGCTCCTGAGGCTTCGGGTCTTCTGCACAAGTGTTTTACAATGTGTTTGGTGTCGTGGGTCGGGTGCTTCTGACTTTCTCGTCTGTAAGTTGCAGGGCACTAGAGTTGGTGGCTCCCATTATTGCAGTCCCCCAGATGTGCTTTTTGGTGAGAGAATAAAAAAATAGGCCAAACTAGATGGTCAATGGATGGCTAGGTGTCAATGGTTCTTCTCATTTATATCCAGTTCATTTCAGTACCTGATACCCTATTACCTTGTTCTGCTCTCTTTATGTTAATGGGGTTGTACTTCCTGCTCTTACCTTTTCCCAATTCCCTCATAGACTTTAAAAAAAGAAGATCTCTCACTGTGTACATCATTCCTTTTTCTCTCCACGTACCTCCTTTCCACTTAGACTACAGGCACCTGCAGGATATAAAAGGAGGTGAGCCTGTGTCAGGGCGAAAGACTCTGAAGAAAATTGAGAAGAGAATTTAAAAAAGGGAAAAATTACAAGTGATAGAAAAATCCCAGGATATCTTCCCTCAGTATCTTCCTTTAATCATCGCACTGACACCATATTGTAAAGGTTCGCTTTTATTGCCTCATTTGGCGTAATAGTTCCCCCAAATGGGAGGATTTAAATCGCCACTCTGTGTCAGTAAAGCAAAAAGCTGGCCACCAAACTGACCTAGCCCCACCTGGGACAACTTAACCTTCCTCTGAAGATGACGCTTCACAGCCCTACGTGTATGCAATGAGAGGACGAGACACTAGAGATGCGGTTTTTATGGGGAAAGCATGCAGCCAAGAGCCGGAGCCCAGGGTTGGCAAGCCGAGGCGGGGACCGAGAGCAATGATTGCCTCCAGCCCCGCTACAGAAGCACCAGCGCTGTGTCAGAGCTCAGCACAGAGGGACTTTCCCCCGTTGCCCTTCTCAGGACATGCGTCTTCACCCCGGAGGAAGGCTTCCCCAACCTCCATGCTAGCAGGATTTCTGCCTTTCCTTTCTTAAAAAATCCCATTATCCCCTGGAGATGGTGGACCCTTGCCTCCTCTGCAGCTGGCTGCGGGGTAGGGTGCTCAGCCAGGGTCAGTGAGGGTGCCCCTTAGCTCTCTGTGTATGTAACCCATGGCCCATGAATATATTCACATCAGAATTGCTGATGTTCATTTTGAGTGAGCAGCTTTGCTCACCCGGCACCCCACAAGACGCTGGGTATATGAGATATAGGTTAACAATTCGTAACAAATCTGTTCTATGTCACTGTTACTGCTTTCAGCTTGTGGTTGCACAACAAGCAGCTCACAGTCCTAATCAATGTTTTCCATGAAAGTGGCTTGCTGAACAGTTTTCTACAGATAATTTTTATTGGTTCATTGTTTTCAGTATGGTTTTGGTGTCTTGCCTTCCAGCAGCTTCACACAGGTTTGTAGGCCATGTGCTATTTCTGGTTTTTGACTAGGTGAGTGTGATCCTCAGGTGTGAGGGCCGGGCATGAATGCTTAGGTGTGGAGTTAGAAAGTTCTTCTAAATGTTCTCCAGAACTTGTTGAAGATCCCTTGTTTTGATATAAGCGTCCTGATAGTAAAATCAGTTGCTAAAATATTCCACAAAATCATTAGATAAACATGGAGAAAGTGAATACCCTCAGAATTTCTAAATAATTACAGAACAGTCTTGCGATTGTCATCCATGTTTTGCATGTATATTATTGTATGCTATTTCAAAACATGGGTATTGTATATTCCTTTGCCATTTGTAGTCTGATCTGTCTCTTTGGGATTCTTGCCTTTGACCAGAAAAACTAGGCCTTGTTAACACATGCTGTGGCTCACTGAGCTATCAAGCACCAGATATCTCACACTGGCTTCAAAAACACTTAAGAAATACTGGTTTTTTTTTTTTTCCTTCACCTGTCTTGGAAATTCTAGTCCACCTGGAGTTCATTTGGGGAAAACCAGAGACTTTTTCTTTGCACTGTTACATTTCCAATTGCTTTTACAGCATAAGGGAGCAAAAGATTAGAAGTCAATAAGCCATTCTTGTCCACGCAGCACTTTTGGTGCTATCTGGACCCAGGCTCTTTGAGAGCACATTAGTGCTGCTCCTTGTCAGCCACACAAGGTCTAAAAGCAAGAAAATCGAGAAGTGCAGCTCCAGTATTCCAAGGTTTATGAAATCTGGGGTTGCTCACAAGCGGAAGCAAACCCAACCCTGACTCCTCAACCAAAACTAAAAAACCCCACTGGTCTGAAAATCTTTGGAAAGCAACAGAGAGGGGGACAGGAGAGATCCAGGAATAGCTGCCAGGACAGTCAGACAGTGTAAGGGTAACTGTTCTGCCTCATCTTTTTTTCTCTCTTGAATGTTTTCATCACAGATTGCATCCTGTATCACAAAAACTTCCCTGAAGACTCAATTTACCCATGAAAACAGTTCTCTAAAAAACCCTTTCATTTTCTTGATGTTTTTACTTGATTTGTAACTGTGCTAATGCTTTCCATGGAGCTACTTATAACTACCTACGCTCGTGGAAGTAATACATACCCAAGAACAGCTTCTTACTTTTTTGTAAATACATTTTTAATTTCTAGAGATCCCAATCGTTTATTTGTGCTGGAACTGCAGCCCCAGTCCGGGGAGCCATGCAGCAGAATGGCTGAAGAGAGGGGTGTTGAACTCTAGCTGAAAGAAAGGCTATTAAAAAGAAAAAAATCAACTGGCAGTAGTTATGTTCCAAGCCATGTTTTCTAAGGATTCTGCTGAAAAGAGCTTCTCGACGGAAGGGCTGGATTTTGAATGGACCAGCAACCATCAGGAGAGAAGCAGCAGACAGATATATTCATTTTTAGCTTGGAAGAACTGGATTATTTAAAACATAAAGGATTCCTTGATATATTTGGTTGGCATCACTGCGAGTGATAATAACAAAGGCACCACTATCAAAATGCAAAGTGTATTATTGCTACCTCAGGGGTTTCTCTCTTAGATCTTTCCCCTATACCGATCCAGCAGGGATTTAATGATGTTCTGTCCACAAGTTTCCCCCCAAGAGCTGCGGGGAGGACAGGATTTGCTCCTCAAAGCAAGCTTCAGAGGCACAATGCAGAAAAGAGGAGAAGAGAGAGACACCAGGGAAGAGCTGAGCGAAGAATAGAGGGAGTGTAATACAAGAGGAGAAGGAGCGAGAAAAAGAGGAGAGAGTGAAAATACTGCAAAATAAAAGCAAGTACAACCTGTAGGGCCTGCTTCTCTGAAGTTTATGTTTCTGTACGTTGCTGTGAGGTAAGCTTCTTGCAATCACAGTCCTAGTCTAATCTTGAACAAAGCATAAAGCCTTTTTTGGCTCCTCGTTTGCTATGACTCTTGCACTGCAGGTGATGGAGTTTGATTTGTGCGCTGTGGATAGTTGGAATGTATATGCACAGCCTTTAAAGACCTGCTAGTAAGTTTTATGCATAAAAGCTTTCCTAACTGGGAATGCTTTTCTCGTTCAAGACATAAATGAAAGATTATAGATGCTCACAGATGCTTAGGTGTAGTTAGCTCTTTTCCTGGAGGAGGAAAGATTTGCATCCAACCATTTGGGTGAATTGCCATTGAAATGCAGAGCTTCTCGGGAGGGGTGCAGCTGGCCTAATACTTTTTTTCGTAAGTCTGCCACTTATGGGGAGAGCAATGCAGACACCCAAACATCGGTGTCTAGTGCTATTTAAGATGCTTTACAGTATCTTTCCCACTTCCAGCTGCCTCTCCAGAAGTGCACAATCTCTCAGGCATCCTGTGTTGTATCTGCCAGCCCTGCTGCAGGTGTCTTGGATACTCTGGGATGTCAAAAATGGCACTTGGTGCCTATGTTTAGGACCTGAATCAGTCCCAACGTGGTATAGCTGTGAGACGCTCACTCTTCCAGAAGAGTGAGAACAGTTCCCTTTGCAATTTGTAGGGAAAGTTAAAAGTAGATCGACTGTTGACAAGTCAGGTTGGCTGGTTTACAAGAGACTACTATGTTCAACAGATGGGAAGAAGCTGCCAGATCTGGATTAAAAGCCAGATCCAAACAACCCAGCACTTAAAAGTATTTGATTTTCTACAGTCTGAAGTGTGGGACTCAGGTAAGAGGCAGCAGGTCCCTGGATATAGTTTTACTTCCTAATGCCGGCACCCAAAAATGTTACAGAGATGACTTGTTATTCCATTTTTATTTTTAATGCTTCTACATTCATGGAAATATGCAATGAAGTTGGGTTTTGCACTTCATTTTTTTTGTCACTATAACGATGTTGTATTATTTCTTTTATTCCCACTACGTGTGATCAGGTGGTTCTTCAGGAAACCTCCTCTATTTAATAAAAAGGTGAGTGTTTAATGGGGTTCAAATGCTGACTGGGGGTACAGAAGTGTTGCTGGAGTCCTACTTCTTTGAAAGATACAAGCAAAGCACTGTAAGGAATGTATTATCCACAAGTGTCCTAAAAGGTACAGCTTCCCTTGGCCACTGTGCTCTGAAGTGCTGGCTGTTTCTTCTCTGGTATAAACATTCGTCAACAGCAGAAAAACTGTTTTAAAGTGCGGATGTCACCATCTCCAGGGCCTTGATCTTGGCCCAGTTAAGCCAACAGAGCATTTCCAGTGATTTTAGGGAAGAGACTAAGCCTTTCCCTAAATCTGTGCTTTGTGTCCCCCTAACTGCATTACTCCTGATTTGTAGTGATGTAGATAGCAACAGGCAGGTCCGCTGTGTTATCTCCATATGGATATGATTGAGTAGCTACTGGATAGTGAAAAGCAGCAAGTCTCCTTTTCAGATGAATTTGGGTGGGCTGTGGGGCAGTTGGGTTTGATTTAGTTTGCTTGATGCTGATATAGTTCACATCCTAAAGGATTTATTGTTCTCTCCTCCAGAAAAAGTAGTAACGAATCCTTGCCCTCTAGCACTGAACTTCAGACCACATCCTGATTTGATCTTGAGCCCAATCCTACACATAAATTTAGTTGTCAGCCGAACATAGTCTTTTTCTCCCATCTCTGATTAAAAACTTCCCGTCTTGATTTATGTCTTTGCCCCGAAATGAAACTACTTGATTTGGCTTCTGAATAATACAAAGAAGATAGAAAGCCAGCAGGAAAAACAGTGAAAAAGACAAGTCCACGAGGGGCAAAAGGGAGAAGTGAAAAAAACTATATTTAAGAGACTTTACTAAAATATAAAACTATAGGGGAAAAAAGCCCCAAAACCCCCTCTCCCAAACGTAGAACCGTAGTCATCTGAGCATTGGCCAAATCTAAATGAGCTAATTCCAAATGTGATCTCATACAAGCATGGTGTGTGAATCAGACACTGAGAACGTATTTCCCCATTAATATAGCTGCGTATTTATCTTTTAGCTTGGCCAGAAACCAGTTGTTGGACAACCCAGCCATAGTTATCTACGCTACAATTGGGAATGATGTCTGCAATGGGTAAGGTGTAAACCGCATTAACATTTATAGTATCTTAAATTTGACTTCTTTAGAGTACTGCTGCCTGCTTGGACATTTATGTCTCATTGCTTTGCGCTTCCCTGTGATGGCATTTTTCTTTGCTAGTGGTCTGTCCTTCATTCTTATTTTTCTGCTGAAACTACTGGTTGTTGCCTTACCTCTATTTGTCATAGCCACCTACCAGTCCTCATTTGGAGCTTGTCTTTCTTTCTTTTACAAGCCAGTGATAAATTGACCAATGGCATGTCTGAAGTAGAATATTTCTAACTTACCAGATGAAATGAAGTATTGAAGTATAACAACAACAGGAGGGGGAAAAAAAGAGTTTAAAAGCATGTATATCCGTCTTACCCAGTGTGTCACCTCCTGTCAGGAGGCAGAGCGTGACTGGCTTACCTTTTCTGAAGAATGACAACGTAGTCCCCTGTCGAGGTCTATTTTCACCCTACCTCTGCTGCACACTGCCTGCAGTCTTTCCTGCGCTCTCCTGACGAGGTGTTTTGTCTTTCTGGCTTTACTCGCATCATAAGCTCAGCAGGAGAATGAACTGAAGCTTTCAAAACTAATAGTTCTGGCATTATCCATTAGCAATGCTCGCAGGGATGCCAAGAGGTCACTAGTTGGATGCTTCCCTTCCTCCCGGTAAGTGGGAAGGCAGAAAACACCTTGCAACCAGGCCAATGCACAGCACATCCATACTGCAGTTTTGGTTTTGCGGGTGGTCCAAGTGTTGTTGTTAGTGCAACATTATTTTCACCATGATGAATCTTCAGGTTTTCTTCTAAGCAGAAGAAATAAATCTGAATTGTGCGGAGACTTCCAAAACACTCACTTTAATAAATGACACACACTCAGTTAAATCCCTTTCCGAAGCTTTTGAAAAATCTCACCTGCAGGACGTATAATGAAGTTGGAGCTATTATGCAGGCTGTCAGACTTTGCCATTAAAATATCCTGGGTTTGGTGTCCTAAAACTTTGCTTAACAGCATGTTCTTGGGCTGAAACTTTGCACGTCAGGTGTTGTGCTCCAGATGGGGATGGCCAAAGGCCAAACAGGGCTTTCCCTGCCACTGCAGCACCTGGGAGCCCTCAGCCGGGCAGAAGTGGGACCACAGGGGCCACCTTTTAGGTCCTTCCCTGGCACCACCATCTCCCTGGCCGCGTGCGGGCAGCATGCAGAAATAACCTCCCATGAAACCTTCACCCTTGGCATGTCGCTCTGGTGCTCGTGCTCTCTCCGCACCCCTGCCCAGAACTGCCAATCTGCCCTCAACACCACCCTCCTGTTAGGGGAAGGATGCACAAATCCTCAAAAGTAATGCCACCACCCTTCAACTGAGTGGGAACAGCAGTCACAGACCTCCTGCTACTTGCTGACAAGACTGTCCTGGGCATCTGCTTATTAAGAAGCTTATGGAGGTATCATTACAAGCATCCCCAGGATAATGAGCCCCCCACCCAAACAGCACCTTCACTGAAGTCCGTGGCTCCTGCCGCAGAGACTTTTGAGGTGTCTTCTCCCAGGCTTGGCCCAGGCTCTGTTGTGTACATATTTCAATTCTGCTGTTTCGCTGGCTTTGCTAAAAGCACCTCTTTTTCCTTTGTTTTATTCCTCATTCTGCAGGTTATTCCTTTCACTTTCCCTGTCTCTAACACTGCTTTCTATTCTTGCCTGAAGTAAAAAGAAATTTTCCACAAATTTAAACCATTTTGGCCTTGCCTCGCCCATTTGTATGTTCCAAAACAGTATTTATTACTTGAAACTCTACTGTCTTTTTATCCCAGTGTCCATTAGCTGGCAGAGACACTTTTGTCTGCTCAAATTCTCTCTACTGTCTGCTTTCTTCCAAAACATTTGCAGCATCAAAAGAGGCTATCAGGCTGTAGTGATCCCTGTGACTCCAGCAAGGAAAGATGCTGCAGCTTCTGTAGCAACATGCTGTTTCCATGCTGTTTGCATCGAGTGGGATGTACAGCGGAGAGAGATTTTTTCAGCGTCCAGTCACTGTGTGTAGCTGCCCTGGCTCTGATGTACCCACAGAGGTTACGGAGGATGCGGAGCATCCACTGATCTTGACTTCAAACCTAGGGCTTGACAAATAAAATCCTCTTCAAGGACAGCTTTAAACTGCAGTAATAGAGCCTTTCTGGCCTTATCCTGTATTTTACCTTCAAAAGAGAGCAGTATGCTGAGCACACCGGAGACACAGCTCTTAGCCAAAGCATTGTTAAAATGCCAGTATTTCACCCCATGCAAAGAGCGGGGCAATGAGTAATGTGGATGTTTGTAGAGGAGAAAGATAATGAAATTGGCAGCCTGTGTTACATGTTCCCAGTAGTCTCCACACTGTGGTGTCCAAAGAGGGGGGTTAGAAAAATAAAGACAGATGGCAATGGTATCTCTCAGCCCACTGAGGTGTAAATGTGGGACACACAGACCTGGAACAAAAAAAATTCAGACAAGAAAATAATGAGCACCAGCAGTCTCAAATGCTGTACAATTATTGCACGTATTACTTGCGTTTGGGGTAAGGCACCATTTCTCCAGCCTCTCTTTCCCAGCTTTGCAGTTATGGCATCTGCAACAAACAGAAAGGAGACAGCAGCAAAGTGGGGTGAGCAGGCAGCCACCAGGAAGGGAACTTTTACAAAGCGGCATGGGCACCAGCGAGAGCATAACACTCCCTTATTGTAAGGCGACCGTCACCAAAGTGCTGCTGCACCCCTCCGGCCCTGAAAATAGTATGTGAGCGTGCAGCACCTCTAGCCCTCGTGTCCCGGGCACACCACCCCTCTGCAGCGAGCTGGAGCTGAACTCCTGCGCTGTGGAGCCAGCTCCACGTGTACATGCATGTGGCATGTGTGAGTGTGTGCATATGGTGGTGTGCTCGCTCACCAGCTGGCCCTGTATGCCAGTGGCCCAAACCTTGGGCATGGAACAGCATGTGGCTGGAAAGCAGACGTATGGCTGAAACATTGGCTGGCGGGATATTTATTTGGCTTGAGGTCACGGGGAGGGGGAATCGCTGCCCTGCAGGATGTGGCAGGCCAGGCCCACAAACCCGGTGCAGAAGGAGGGTGGAGAGCTGTGTTTGGACTATGCCAGACCCTGTTATAAGGGACTGGAGGAGGTTCTGTGGCAGAGGAGAGCTGAAAAAGCTTTGCACAGATTGCACGAGGCTGTCTGGTCCCTCTGTGTTATATGTGTGCACAGCTAGGGTACCCGTGGTGTTAGGACATCCAGGAGCTGTGTGCACATCCAAGGATATTACTGTGTATTTGTGTATTGTAGGGGGGCAGGGAGTGCTCCCTAAAATACCCAGATCCAATGCAGCAAGAATGCTAACATTAACGTCTGCTTGCTATGCTCTGACACAATGAACCGTGGCCAGCATCAGCTTCCAGAGGTCCCAGGTGGGCAGAGGCTATCACTGGCTGCTGCCTCCCAGGGGGACCATGTGAGGGTACCACAACGGCCCCCGGTGCTCACCCAGGCACCTTGCAGTCCTTATGGCAGAGCCCCAAATGAACATGCCTACAGGATGGCTTGCTTCTCAGTCAGTTTTAATTTCATAGCCTGGCACAGAAAGGAAATGTGAAGAAATGCGCTGAAATATCTGCATGACTCCAGCGGAGAATGACAAGAGGAAGTGGAGTTATGAATGTCATATTAATTTCGGCTCACACTGACGTGTTTACTTGTGGTAGAAGCCTTACATCAGAGCAGTATTTTGAAATCAAGTGCTGCAACACCTGTAGGCGAAATGAAGTAACTTAAGGGCAAAACCACAGTCTTCTCTCAAAAGTACCTTGCTTGGGTGGCTGTCACAACGATAAGCCTGAATCTTAATGCTGTTTTTCAGTTCTCCCTAACCAGAAAGTCTCAAATCCTTCAGCAGCACATACTGCATTAAGATAAATTTCTGGGCCCAGGGAACTCGTCTAATTATTATTTTGTGTGCAAAATGCAGCCCACTGAAGAATCCCAAATCCTTGCTAGGGAATGCAGGTCTCCCACATGGGACTTAGCACCCCCATCCCCCCCCCCGCCCCCGAGCA